CGGACTACACCATGTGCTTTGTTTGACAAACCCCGTGATTAGTCCTCAAGCTCTGTGATTGGATGTTGGAGTGGCAGTGCGCAAAGTTTAGACCGAGCGTCAAACAGCACTTTGAATTGGAATGAAACCCATCGACGGCACACTATCCAAAACAGGACTCGCTGTAAAAGTGAAATAGTGCAATAAGAGTCTATATACAAGTGATTGAATATGATATATGAGATAAATAATTTCTAATTAGCAGCCAGATGAATGTTATGGATGTTGTTTCAAAGTTCAGGTGTTTAATAGTCTTCTGCCCTGTGGGATGAAGCTGTCCCTGAGTCTGGTGGTTTTAGTCCGGATGCTGCGGTACCGCCTGCCAGACGGCAGCAGACAGAACAGTTTGTGGCTGGGGTGATGGGGGTCTTTTATAATCCTGAGGGCTTTCTTTAAGGTTAACCTGGTATTTTTAGTTACTTTCCAGATTTGGATTAATGATGTGAAATATAAACAACCCTTAAATCAGACTTTAGTTACACCTGAGTAAAGTTCAGTGAAGGTGATTGTCAAGTGCCAACAATCAGGCGAGATATTTGGTAGTTGGTGCTTGAGAAGACAACAAATGTATCTGCAGATCCCTATAAAGCATATTCATTACTCGTTATTCTCTAATCGTTCATCAAAAACTGTATATAATGGCTATTTTGCACATCCCTTTCAAGATTTCAAGATTTTCAAAGGTTTATTGACATATCATATACACAACTACGCTGTAGTTATGCAATGATGACACACTTGGGTCATAGGTTCCTCAACAAGAGATCTATCAATATGTGTGTACCTCCACCATTAAACTGTCATATTCTGCACATTTCTTATTCTATCTACATACATCTTATAAGAGTATAATAACTATGTATAATATCAGTTAAAATAAGTGCTTCAACATAGTTAACATTGCAGGAAAGTTGATTGTCAAGTCCCAAAACAAACCATGCAATATATTAGACGTTAAGTACTTTGTCAGGCTTAATATTTATCTGTAGATGCCACCAAAGCTTTTTGCTTACATGTATTTAAAAGAAGACCTTAACCTAAAGTATTATTTAATGTTTAAATAAAGCCTAATTAGTTTGTCTGTTTTACACATCCTCCTATTAATATCTTTATACATCCGGCACTAAACTGTTTTATTCTAGATACCATTTACAGTATCTTCTTGATATTTTCTATTCTATATTTCTATCATTGACCTTCTACTTTCCCACTATTTTGTATGTACTCTTAATATTTAAATGTTTTCATCAAATATAACACATTCAAAAGTGCTTTACAAAAATGAAAGACATTACGAAAAAGGCATTTTAAAACAGTCATTAAAAAGCAACCCAATCTACCTGCATTGCATTACTCTAAACGTGTAATAACGTGCTTTAACCAGTAGGAGGTGCGGGTTAAAAAGCTGTCAAGTTTACAGTGTTAACAAAATAAAATATACTGCTGTTTCTGGTTTAGTTTACGACGGATATATTCTGTTATTGTTTTGATATTTGTAACACAAAAGCGATGTAAAAAACCCACAGCAACACAGAAAAGAAGGTCTTAACATGACCCAGCGGTCTATAGTTAATAAAAAACAATAATATCAAAACTAAATATTACTACTAACTTTATTGTGAAATTAAAACAGAACGGTAAAAGAATAGTTTCCGGTCTATTCTGAGCCCGATCTCTGTAGATAAATAAAGAACTACGACAGATGTGTAATGTTTAATGCAGCCAAACCATTCATTACAATGCATTCATGTGATGACTTTCAAAGAGTAAAGCAAGCACTGCTGAATAAAGTATGATTTTATCTTTTACGAAACGTTTTTTTTCATATGGAATGCAGTTGGAGGTCAACCAATCACAGAGCTTGAGGACTAATCACGGGTTTGTCAAGCAAAGCACATGGTGTAGTCCCAAACGATAGCTGAGGATTCTGGGTAGTGTAGTGTCTTCTGCCATCCTAAACTCCGAAAAAATATTTGTTTCTCCGAATCGAAGGGGAAAAACACAAAAGCATTGTACACAATTTAAACCAGAGATGGAGTACTCGAGTCCTGGACTCGGACTCGAGTCGGACTGGAGTGCCGATTTTCGGGACTCGTGACTCTACTCGGACTCGCGCATTGATTGACGCGACTCGGACTTGGACTCGTGAATTCTCGCGCACGATGACTTGGACTCGGACTCGTGAATGTTCCCCCCCACGGTGACTCGGACTCGTACATTGACGCTCCGACTTGGACTCGGACTCGAGCAAGTTTTCTCTGGAGTCTGATGTCCTCTATCCCTGCGTGTGCACCTGCGAGGCGAGTTCACGTACTGGGCCCCGCTATTCCAGTCTAAAGATGTCTAGAGACACACCCCGCATCGTGCTGTATGCTTTCACACATTCTGCTTCCACATTGGAAAAGAGCAGCGCAAAATGCTCGTTATGTGGAAAAAATATTGAAGAGAAGAGAAGGCTCCATAACACATTACTCTAAGGATCGAGTTCAGACATATAGGCTGTCTTGAACACTATCATCAGAGTAACGTGATCTAATCAATAAATAAAGATTCAGCCGATAACACGAAAGCACATGGCTACTTAATATGCAGAATGACGTCATTCTACATATTAAGTAGCCATGTGCTTTCTGGGGCTTAATCTTTATCAGTAAACCGATTTAACCGGTAAAAGTTCCTTCAAAATAAGAGTCCCGATCTTATTACTATCAAAATAAAAGTGCAAAACGAAAACTTTACCATAGGAAAATATTGGCTTACAAATATAATCACTTCTCTAAAAGGTAACTCATTTTAAATATAGTTAGACATATTATAGGTCATTTACAATAATAATAATATTAATATTAGTAATAAGCTTTATATTTGTATAGTACTATTACAAGACTTGTAGCCAAACTGGCTTCACAGCAGTTCAATAGACAGATTAGTATAACATGACAGGATAAAAGCAATGTAGAGGAGCAGCTACATTTCAACACATATATCCACGAAGATTAATACATGAAGACTTGTGACTCGGACTTGACTTGGACACTCCTTGGGTGACTCGGACTTGGACTCTGACTCGAACACAGGTAATGATGACTCGGACTCGGACTCGACTCGGACACTCCTTGGGTGACTCGGACTTGGACTCGGACTCGAACACAGGTAATGATGACTCGGACTCGGACTCGACTCGGACACTCCTTGGGTGACTCGGACTTGGACTCGGACTCGAACACAGGTAATGATGACTCGGACTCGGACTCGACTCGGACACTCCTTGGGTGACTCGGACTTGGACTCGGACTCGACTACGACTCTCCCTAGGTGACTCGGACTTGGACTCGGACTCGAACACAGGTAATGATGACTCGGACTCGACTCGGACACTCCTTGGGTGACTCGGACTTGGACTCGGACTCGACTACGACTCTCCCTTGGTGACTCGGACTTGGACTCGGACTCGAAGAGTGGTGACTCGAGAGTGACTTGGACTCGTGAATTGGTGACTTGACTACAACACTGATTTAAACCAATCAATGTTGTGTAATTAACAAGGATAATCTGTTGAGTTGATGAGTAGTGCAGATATCACTGTAAAATCAATCGACAGTAAGGAGAATACTTACTTCCGGGTGTAAAATGTTCCGTTATCCAATGGGAATGGACACTCACATTGCCTTTAACTGCCGCCGACATGGACCGATGTGGTGCTTCCCTGAGCGTCAAATACCGCCGCCGATGGGAATACATTGCAATCAGTTGAAAGCTCTTTGCGTCCGTTTATGAAGCTGAAAAAGACTTGGTGCGTCACAACTGCACGCCAAAGGACCCTGACCAAGCGTCGCTATTGGACTATCAGGGAGTGAGACTGTGTTGACTGTAGGGACACTGGGACTCACTAAGAGCCATCCACTTCCTGTATAACTGGAGAGAGAGCTGTGTCCACACCCTCAGTGGGTGCTGGGATCAGCTGGTATCGTGCCTCATCTCCCAGCAGCAGGAATAAGAGTCAGTCAGGTTTAGGGCCATGGTTCTCTGTGGGAAAACTGATGGTTGTCTGTGGGGTGGAACTCATACTGGACAATGTACAGATAATTATGCAACAATATCCAGTGACTTGATAAAAGGAAAATAACCTGCTATTTTGTCAGAAATGGGTCCAATTTGAAGGAAATATGTTGATGTGTCTTTCATGTAAATATCTTTCTTATTCATTCAGATATTCTCACTAAGTGCCAAGGTGAACTCAAATCAAACCTGAAGGAAACATTTGAAAATATCACATTTATGGAAAAATCTGAATCCCTACATAAAATCTACACGGAGATCTACATCACCAGGGGAGACACCGGAGAGGTCAACAAGGAACATGAGATCAGACAGATCGAACAAGCATCCAGTAAACCAGACAGATCAGAAACACCCATCAGACAAGAAGACCTCTTTAAAGGCTCAACTGAAAGAGGTAAACCAATCAGAGCAGTGATGACAAAGGGAGTGGCTGGCATTGGGAAAACAGTCTTAACACAGAAGTTCACTCTGGACTGGGCTGAAGGCAAAGCCCACCAGGACATCCAGTTCATATTTCCATTCACCTTCAGAGAGCTGAATGTGGTGAGTGATGAAAAGTACAGCTTGGTGGAACTTGTTCATCACTTCTTCTCTGAAACCAGAGAGGCAGGAATCTGCAGGTTTGATCAGTTCCCGGTTGTGTTCATCTTTGACGGTCTGGATGAGTGTCGACTTCCTCTGAAATTCCACAACACTAAGATCCTGACTGATATCAGAAAGTCCACCTCAGTGGATCGGCTGCTGACAAACCTCATCAGGGGGAAGCTGCTTCCCTCTGCTCGCCTCTGGATAACCACACGACCTGCAGCAGCCTATCAGATCACTGAGTTTGTGGACATGGTGACAGAGGTCAGAGGGTTCACTGACCCACAGAAGGAGGAGTACTTCAGGAAGAGGTTCAGAGATCAGGAGCAGGCCGGCACCATCATCTCCCACATCAAGACCTCACGAAGCCTCCACATCATGTGCCACATCCCAGTCTTCTGCTGGATCTCTGCTTCTGTTCTGGAGGACATGTTGAAAACTGAGGGAGGAGAGCTGCCCAAGACCCTGACTGAGATGTACATCCACTTCCTGGTGATTCTGTCCAAAGTGAACGTCAAGTATGATGGAGGAGCTGAGACAGATCCACACAGGAGTCCAGAGAGCAGGATGAAGATGATGGAGTCTCTGGGGAAACTGGCTTTTGAGCAGCTGCAGAAAGGCAAACTGATCTTCTATAAGTCCAACCTGAGAGAGTGTGGCATCGATATCAGAGCAGCCTCAGTGTACTCAGGAGTGTTCACACAGGTCTTTAAAGAGGTGAGAGGAACGTACAAGGACAAGGTGTTCTGCTTCGTCCATCTGAGCGTTCAGGAGTTTCTGGCTGCTCTTCATGTCCATCTGACCTTCATCAACTCTGGAGTCAACCTGATGGCCCCCTGGTGGTCTAAAGTCTTCAGACGAAAACCTAAACATCTCTACCAGAGTGCTGTGCACAAGGCCTTACAGAGTCCAAACGGACACCTGGACTTGTTCCTCCGCTACCTCCTGGGTCTTTCACTGGAGACAAATCAGACCTTATTACAGGACCTGCTGACACAGACAGGAAGTAGCTCACAGACCAACCAGAAAACAGTGAAATATATCAAGAAAAAGATAAGAAAAAACCCGTCTCCGGAGAAAAGCATCAACCTGTTCCACTGTCTGAATGAACTGAATGATCGTTCTCTAGTGGAGGAGATCCAACAGTACCTGAGATCAGGAAGTCTCTCCACAGAGGATCTGTCTCTTGCTCAGTGGTCGGCTCTGGTCTTCATCTTACTGTCATCAAAAGAAGATCTGGAAGAGTTTGACCTGAAGAAATACTCTGCTTCAGAGGGGGCTCTTCTGAGGCTGCTGCCAGTGGTCAAAGCCTCCAGGAAAGCTCTGTAAGTGGAGATAAAACTACATTAACTAGGAACAGTTTGAGACATGATAATAAAACTCTTTGTGTTCACTGCTGATCTTTCCCCAGGCTGAGTGGCTGCAACCTGTCAGAGAGAAGCTGTGCAGCTCTGTCCTCAGTCCTCAGCTCCCAGTCCTCTAGTCTGAGAGATCTGGACCTGAGTGACAACGACCTGAAGGATTCAGGAGTGAAGAAGCTGTCTGCTGGACTGCAGAGTCCACACTGTGAACTGGAGACTCTCAGGTCAGTATTCAGCCGACATGTTAACAGTCATTTCTATCGACTCATTTCCAGTTTGATCTAATTGGTTAATAATACATTTCGATTTTCATTCGGTTTGTAGTTTATTTTTCTTCTTCAAAACAATAAACCACAAAACCATGATAACAATCTGATTATATTTTAAGACAGATGGCGTCACTTATCTACATCTCTATTTATCTGACTGATTGACCAACCCAAACATGCACAGACAAACAGATGGTAGCATTTGACAAAAGAACTAGAAAAGATTGTATGTTGAAACTTTGCGCTCAATCACATTTATTATTAAAGGAATGTTGTCATGTATTAATTTATTTCAAGGTTAACTGGCTGCAACCTGTCAGAGAGAAGCTGTGAAGCTCTGTCCTCAGTCCTCAGCTCCCAGTCCTCTAGTCTGAGAGAGCTGGACCTGAGTAACAACTACCTGCCGGATTCAGGAGTGAAGCTGCTATCTGCTGGACTGGAGAGTCCACACTGTGAACTGAAAACTCTCAGGTCAGAGTTCAGCTGATATGTTAACTGTCAGAGTGGTTTTGTTCAGCGCATTGCTATCGACTAATTTCCAGTTTTATCAAATTAGAATAATAATACATTTCGATTTTCCTTCGGTTTGTTGTTTATTTTTCTTCTCCAAAACAATAAACCACAAAACCATGATAACAATCTGATTATATTTTAAGACAGATGGCGTCACTTATCTACATCTCTATTTATCTGACTGATTGACAAACACAAACATGCACAGACAAACAGATAGTATCATTTGACAAAAGAACTAGAAAAGATTGTATGTTGAAACTTTGCGCTCAATTACATTTATTATTAAAGGAATGTTGTCATGTATTAATTTCTTTCAAGGTTAACTGGCTGCAACCTGTCAGAGAGAAGCTGTGAAGCTCTGTCCTCAGTCCTCAGCTCCCAGTCCTCTAGTCTGAGAGAGCTGGACCTGAGTAACAACGACCTGCTGGATTCAGGAATGAAGCTGGTATCTGCTGGACTGGAGAGTCCACACTGTGAACTGGAGACTCTCAGGTCAGAGTTCAGCTGATATGTTAACTGTCAGATTGGTTTTGTTCAGCGCATTTCTATTGACTAATTTCCAGTTTGTTATTTATTTTTCTTCTTCAAAACAATAAACCACAAAACCATGATAACAATCTGATTATATTTTAAGACAGATGGCGTCACTTATCTACATCTCAATATATCTGACTGATTGACCAACCCAAACATGCACAGACAAACAGATGGTATCATTTGACAAAAGAACTAGAAAAGATTGTATGTTGAAACCTTGCGCTCAATCACATTTATTATTAAAGGAATGTTGTCATGTATTAATTTCTTTCAAGGTTAACTGGCTGCAACCTGTCAGAGAGAAGCTGTGAAGCTCTGTCCTCAGTCCTCAGCTCCCAGTCCTCTAGTCTGAGAGAGCTGGACCTGAGTAACAACAACCTGCTGGATTCAGGAGTGAAGCTGGTATCTGCTGGACTGGAGAGTCCACACTGTGAACTGAAGACTCTCAGGTCAGAGTTCAGCTGATATGTTAACTGTCAAGAGTGGTTTTGTTCAGCGCATTTCTATCGACTAATTTCCAGTTTTATCAGTTTGTTGTTTATTTTTCTTCTTCAAAACAATAAACTACAAAACCATGATAACAATCTGATTATATTTTAAGACAGGTGGCGTCACTTATCTACATCTCAATATATCTGACTGATTGACCAACCCAAACATGCACAGACAAACAGGTGGTATCATTTAACAAAAGAACTAGAAAAGATTGTATGTTGAAACTTTGCGCTCAATCACATTTATTATTAACCTGTTTAGGCCGAAGGCCCCCGCCCGTGGGGCTGCAGGTTTTTTTTTCACAAAACTGTGTCTCAGGGCTTCTTAACATTTAAAAGCCTATTAATGTGTCATACCCACTTAATGGGAAGAAACTCATCTAACTGACGATACAAACCATTTTTACCGAAACAAAACACAAATCTCACAAGAATCGTCTAAATGAGCCCTGAGCGAAAAAATGCTAACACACTTAGCACAGAACTCACGGTAAAATACCCTTATTACTTATCGGATCTGCAAAAACAAGATATCGATTAGCAAGCTGAGATTCCACAGATTCCAGAAATATAAGTATCATCACTGAGCGATCAAAACCCGTGACAGGGGAAGCAAACCCAAACATCACACCACGTAGCTTTACGGAGCAAACACGGGACATTGTCTTACCTTAGCTGTTATTCTGATCAAAAGTCGTGTTCAATGGCATTAAAATGAGAAAAACGCGGCTGAAGGTTAATCCATAGGTTAATCCAATGCTTCTGTGTCACTTTGAAATGATTACTGATAATCCATCATCATATTTATGTCAAAAACGGAGTTTTCATATATAGCTGCTATGATAGCTACCAGAGTGTATGACATTTTCCAGTTTTGGGGCCTTCTGGCTATGCATCACTCATTCACCAATGGGTAATGTTTAGATGGATTTTAGGAACTTCCCCGCGATTCTATTGGCTCTAACGGTTAAAAAGAGATGTCAATCATCAAAATCGACCGAGGGGGGCCAGAGATATGGAAAATGCACCCAAATGACCCCAGAAGTGTTTTTTTTCTTCTAAACCTCTAAAAAGGTCAAATGTCACTTGTTTTGCATCAATCTTGATACAGGGTACTTATTATATGTTATAGTTTGGATTTCTAAAGCTTTTAGTCTACTATCCCATCATTCAAGGGTGGTTTTCACTATAAGTAATGTTTCTTTTTTGGACGGACACTATCATTTACATTACTATTACTATGTTCAATCTGAATTTACTTTAAAATAAAAAACATCTATATTGATTCTGAATGTTCTACATCCAACTCACAGGTTTATCATTGCTTTGAGAAAAAAGATTATTAATGTATCCCTTTTAGAAGGGAAGATATGGTCATTTGTTCTGGGAATGTAATTTTCGAGCCTGAGACCTGAGAAACAGGCTCAGGGCTTAACAGGTTAAAGGAATGTTGTTATGTATTAATTTCTTTCAAGGTTAACTGGCTGCAACCTGTCAGAGAGAAGCTGTGCAGCTCTGTCCTCAGTCCTCAGCTCCCAGTCCTCTAGTCTGAGAGAGCTGGATCTGAGTAACAACGACCTGAAGGATTCAGGAGTGAAGCTGCTGTCTGCTGGACTGGAGAGTCCACACTGTGAACTGGAGACTCTCAGGTCAGATTTCAGCCGATATGTTAACTGTCAGATTGGTTTTGTTCAACCATTTCTATTGACTAATTTCCAGTTTGATCAAATTAGAATAATAATACATTTCGATTTTCCTTTGGCTTGTTGTTTATTTTTGTTCTTCAAAACAATTAACCACAAAACCATGATAACAATCTTATTATATTTGAAGACAGATGGCGTCACTTATCTACATCTCAATGTATCTGACTGATTGACAAACACAAACAGACAAACAGATGGTATAATTTGACAAAGGAACTAGAAAATATTATATGATTGAAACCTTGCGCTCAATCACATTTAATATTAAAGGGGACCTATCATGCAAAATGCACTTTTGTACGTCTTTTATACATGAATATGTGTCCCCGGTGTGTCAGGGAACTCACCAAGTGTCAGAAAACATAACCCTCTCTTTTCCTCCATACCCAAATCTCTAAAAACGGGGCTGCAACGGATCTGATACAGACTGACACAGATTTGAAAATTCTCTGACGTCAGGAACGAGGAGCTCCGCCTATATGGCCAACTCTCCACCTATCAGGGGAATGTGGGGTTGGGCCACGGCCGGCCATTGCCGCTCGAAAGCGCTGGAGACGCTGTAGTACATATGCCAGGCCTGTAAGTGGCGCTGTAGTCTGCCACAAAAGCAGCGAAGAAGACTTCCCGCGCATAGTTACCATGGTTACCCTTCTGTTTATTCTCCGCTGTGGCTTTCTTTCTCCCTCCCCGAGGCAAGCGTTTGCTCCCGCTGCTTTAATTCAATGCAATCCCTCCCCGTCGAGGCAAGCACTGTAATTCTCTCCGGTTAGTCCACCAGCAGATGACAAACACCCACCTCTCCGCCTCTTCCAAGGAACGAGGGGACCGTGCGGCAGAGTTTCAGTTAGATTTTTTTTCGCCGGTCAAGATGTCCGTTAAAGTTTAAATCTTCCGGACAAAATTAGAAAAGTGCCGGTCAAAGGTCTTCTTTGTTATTTATTGAGCTTTAAAACAAATGAATAACGACTCTATATAATAAATCACGGAGGACGGAGATCTCTTTTCCTCCCCCTCTTCTGACAGCCCAGCAGCTGATCTCAAAGCACGCTCCCCTCTCCTGCAGGGGGGCGTGGTCAGCTGCAGCTCAGCTACAAGCTACGTCACAGAATCAGCCCCTGCAAAAACAGGGCTGGAAAAGAGCAAATAGAGCGAAATGAGGCATGGCTAAAATGCATGATCTGTTTGGTATTTTGAAAAATAAACTTTGCAGACATGTTTTATATAGGTATGGCCCTACAATATATTGTTCAAATATAGCATGATAGGTCCACTTTAAAGGAATGTTGTCATTTATTCCTTTCTTTCAAGATTAACTGGCTGCAACCTGTCAGAGAGAAGCTGTGAAGCTCTGTCCTCAGTCCTCAGCTCCCAGTCCTCTAGTCTGAGAGAGCTGGATCTGAGTAACAACGACCTGAAGGATTCAGGAGGGAAGCTGCTGTCTGCTGGACTGGAGAGTCCACACTGTGAACTGGAGACTCTCAGGTCAGAGTTCAGCTTTTTCTTTTCAAACAGTTCAATTATTGTCATCCAGCTTTTTGTTCATGTTGATGAAGATGGTCCACCTCTGATGTTCCTGCTCATGTGACTTTTTAAAGCACTGAGTTTACTGTATTCCCTGGTTCCAGACTGTCAGGCTGTCTGGTCACAGAGGAAGGCTGTGTTTCTCTGGCTTCAGCTCTGAGATCCAACCCCTCCCATCTGAGAGAGCTGGACCTGAGCTACAATCATCCAGGAGACTCAGGAGAGAAGCGGCTTTCTGCTGGACTGGAGGATCCACTCTGGAAACTGGACACTCTCAGGTATGGACAGACTGACTGCAGGTTCCTCATATTTTTCTAATGTAATCTCTTTCATCTCTGGTCTTCCATCATGAAGGACGTCTCATTTCCCTTGATTATGTTCACAGCAGTGAGTTAACCTTGAAGTCTTATTACATGGAAACAGCCATTCAGTCCAAACATCAGAACCACTGGCTCTAGGGAGGATAATGATGGTCAGTTTATGAATTTGGTTCTGACTGAGATATCTCACCAACTGCTAAATGTGTTGAGATGAGATTCTGTTTGACATTTTTGATCCCCAGAGGGTCGATCGTGTGTTTGAAGAGAGAAGAGGGTTTTTTCACTTTTATTTCATTTGTTTCTGTTTCAATCGTTTCTTTAACTGTATGATCTTTGGTTGGGATATTTGTACTCTTTGCGAGTACGGTTAATACTTTTTCGTTAGTGTTTTTCCGTGCCTCGCGGCGGGGATGGCGTCCTTCGGGGCGCCGCCGGTGTCTCTGAGACACGGAGTGCGGTTGGTGGCTCAGGCCGCAAGCACAGTGGAGCAGGTGTTGTTGGCTGTGGGGGATCAGGTCGGTCATGTAAACATTTCCTATGCTTCCCGCATGAACAAAGCGGTCGTGGTCTTTTTGAAAGATCAGAAATATGTGACGGAACTTATCGAGAGCGGATTAATGCTAAACGAGGAATATATTCAAGTTTCACCGCTGGCGACACCGTCCACGCGGATCACTGTGTCTGGCGTTCCTCCATTCATCCCGAATGAGGCGATGGAAAGCATTACTAATGAAATGTGGGTAATATATTACCCGTTACAATTCTCAGTAACACTTTTACAACTAATTTTAACCCGAAATGAAATGGTGTTTTGTTTTTAAGAATTCACTAACATCGCGATACATTCCGACACCAGAGAAAAATGGTGCCGGTAGAATAGTAAACCTGGTGTTTACGTAATCAGTCAGGCTGATCTTGATGGGCCTGAAGGGTGTTCTTTTCCCCATAATGACCAAGTCGCTGCACATTATCCCGCTTATTACACGGCCAGATACTAAACAAACTAAGGAATCGACTCCTAATATTAATTGAAATTATTTTATTGACTTAAAATTATCATATTTCTTCCGCTAAGAAAAAACTCTGTTCCACGGCGCACCAACGGCTGGAACTGCAACAACAACAACTTTACGGCAGCACTGTCCAACTCTGTTCACAGTTTCTGATCCAATAACAAGTCCTTAAACTCTGCAGAGCTCATACCGTGTTCCTGTTAGTGTTCACTTCCTGTCTGTCTTCTTCTGTTCATTTATCTGACGTCCAGCGCTCCGTCTTTTACCCTCTTTTACTTTCTCTTTCTTGATCCTCCTTAGCAACGGAATTGACCAATCAGAATCGAGTATTCAACTAAGCCTTGTAATAAAAGTTGTTAGTAGCCTTAAGGGCCTACACAGTTGCTGCACTAAACTACATTTTAGCATTTAAAATACCTAGCCATTATTTTGGGGTTATTTTGGTGAAAGTAACTCAAAAGTATTATAAAAGTTGTGTCACTCATTACATTTCAGAGACAGTAATATCGTAATGTAACTTATTACTTAAAAAAGACAGTAATAAGTCATATGTAATGTAATGTATTACACTGATCAGCAGTAAGTAAGGGGGATCAATAAGCATCTGCTTGCTCCTGCTCCCTTTGGACACATAGGATTTATTATTATTATTATGAACATTGATAAATACTTTATTCTAACAATACGCAGTTCTGTTTTTCACATGTGTGTTTCTTCCTCCAGGCTGGACCATGGTGGAGAGCAGTGGTTAAAACCAGGTGGGAGGAAGTGTAAGTGTGGATCAGTCAGCTTCTCTCTAAAGACAAAGATGATGGAGGTGCTATTTATTCATTAACCTGTTAAAGCCCTGAGCCTGTTTTTCAGGTCTCAGACTCGAAAATGACATTCCCAGAACAAATGACCATATCTTCCCTTCTAAAAGGGTTAAATTAATAATCTTTTTTCTCAAAGTAATGATAAACCTGTGAGTTGGATGTAGAAGAGTCAGAATCAATATAGATGTTTTTTATTTTAAAGAAAATTCAGATTTTACATAGTAAAAAACTGTAAATTATAGTGTCCGTCCAACAATTCTTTTTTACTTATAGTGAAAACTACCCTTGGATGATGGGTTAGTAGACTAAAAGCTTTAGGAATCCAAAGTACAACATATAATAAGTACCCTGTATCAAGATTGATGCAAAACAAGTGACATTTGACCTTTTTAGAGAGATTTAGCCAAAACCACTTCTGGGGTCATTTGGGTGGATTTTCCATATCTCTGGCCCCCCTTGCTCGATGTTGATGGTTGACACCTCTTTCTGACCGTTAGAGCCAATAGAATCGAAGGGGGAGTCCCCCACACACACTCATTGTGAAGAGAAAAGGTGGGGGCTTCGCGCATGCAGTTTTGCATCAGAGCGAACCTATACTCTAGCTCTGACATCTGGAAACGGAAAATCAGTTTTATTGCTTATGGATTATCAGAAATCATTTCAAAGGGACACAGACACATTAGATTAACCTATGGATTAACTTCAGCAGCGTTTTTATCATTTTAATGCCATTGAAGACCACTTTGGACCAGACTACGACACAGGTAAGCCATGTTAGCGTTTTTAGCTACCTAGCGCCACATGTTTTGATGTCTGTTTTTGTTTATAAAGTCGCGAGTTCGTATCATAGAGTGATAATGTATGTACCCATCGATTCTGTGTCACCTCACGATGTGAAACGATGTCATGGATGTGCAGAAAAGATAAATAATAAGGTTTTCTGAGTGATTTTCGGTGCAGTAATCTGTTAGCATTTTTCGCTCGTTGCTAATTCAGAGGCTCAGTGTTAGCATTGTGGGTTTTCTTTTGAAAAAAAAAAAAAAAAGATCAGTTAGATGAGTTTCTTCCCGTTACATGGATATAAAACATTCATAGTTTATTAAATGATCATGCCCTTAGACACTGTGTCCTGCAAGATGTTGCGGGAGGGCCCCGTTACCGGGGTCTCTCGGGCTTAACAGGTTAAAACATGACATCTTGAAGCTTTATAGAAAGGATCACTAACAGAGAGTAAAGCCTTCAGGTGAGTCTGATGATAAACTGCTGTCTGTGTCTCTCATCAGATTCCTGTGAACTCACCCTGGACTCAAACACAGCACACAGAAACCTCATACTGTCTGAGAACAACAGGAAGGTGACATACGTGAGAGAGGAGAGGCAGCCATATCCTGATCATCCAGAGAGGTTTGACTCCTGGCCTCAGCTGATGTGCAGAGAAGCTCTGACTGGTCGCTGTTACTGGGAGGTCGATTGGAGAGGAAGGGTTCTTATATCAGTGACTTACAGAGGAATCAGCAGGAAAGGAGGCGGTGGGGACTGTGAGTTTGGATATAATGATCAGTCCTGGAGTCTGATCTGCTCTGATGATGGTGGTTACTATGTCAGGCACAATAAGAGAAGAACACCCATCTCCTCCTCCTCCTCCTCCTCCTCCTCTGGTAGAGTAGCAGTGTATCTGGATCATCCTGCTGGCTCTCTCTCCTTCTACAGAGTCTCCTCTGACACACTGACCCACCTCCACACCTTCAGAGCCACATTCACTGAACCTCTCTACGCTGGGTTTGGGTTCGTGCTCTGGTCATATGACTCCTCAGTGTCTCTGTGTCCTCTGTAGGAGGAGACCACTTCCTGTCCTGGGGTTTAAATGTTGGTGTTTTAAATCGAAGCTTCTCATTGGTTACCGTGTGTCTCACTGATTGTGTCCGTAATAAAGTTTTCTTGAAGCAACGTATTAAAACTGATGCTGAAGACTGTAGTGATCGTCATTAAGTTGAATAAAGATTTACAAAAAGCAGCGTCCATGATCTCATGAAGTCAACCTGTTGGTGAAACATGAACTGGGGAATCCTTCTTGATTCAATGTTTGTTAGAAAGGGTTAGCATGACAGAGATAAAGTATTATCATTTACACGTGAAGTATCACAAGTACACATTACAACAAGTACAGGAATGCAGGGTATATTGTATGATTGTGTATCTGTGAAGTATTTTAAAAGAAACCTCCTTATTGTAAGGTTTCAGCGTTAGAATCCTTCTAGTTTATTGTCTTGTGTTCATATCTTGTGACATTTCATTTTATTTTGGTAAATGACTACCCTCTCGTTTCAGGTGTCGACACTTCCTGTCCTTGTGTGTCACCTGCCAGACTGATTGTTGTTTCCTGCTCCTGATTGTTTCCACCTGTGCCCCATTACCTAATGTGTGTGTGTGTATATATAGCCCTTCTCTCCTTTTGTCTTTTGTCAGTTCGTCTTGTCTCCACGTCGAGTCCATGTCTGTAACATTAGTAATCTGTTGAACAACCTAGTAGAACCTAGAGATATTGTGAGAATCTTAGTAGAACCTAGTGATCTTTTGTTTGTAGCTTGAAAAGTCTTTTATAGATAAAGATATTTTGAAGTCAACTGAATTGTGCATCTGAGTTCCTGTGAGCCCTTCGTGTCAGAACGAACTGACCTAACAAGATGGACTCAGCTGATTCAACAGCGTTAAGGACGGCCTTACAGGCGCAGGGGACACTCCTTCACCAACATGAGGGACAGCTGTAAGCTATTAACCAAGGGGTCCAAGACTTAAATGCCCGTCAGCACAACTTCCAGTCTACAGTGTCAACAGAGATAAACCACCTGGCTGAGAAGATGCGCGACAAACTCACACCTCGTGGCTTACCCACGAGTTTTCCAGTCCAGCGGAGGTCGGGTCTGCTGATATCCCCGTTCAAGTACCCATGCCATCGTCTACGTTCCGCCTCGCTTCGCCAGAGAAGTTCTCCGGAGATTCTGGAAACTGTCGTCCATTCCTGGTACAGTGCGATCTCCATTTCAAACACCAGCCCGCAGCATTTCCCACAGATCAAGCTAAGGTTGCTTTCATAGTGTCTCACTTGACGGGTAGAGCCGGAGCCTGGGCAACAGCGGAATGGGCCAGAGACTCGCCTGTTTGCCAGTCTTTAAGGCTATTCATGGATACTAAGAGCAACATTTCTGACCAGACATCACCCGGGAGAGAGTCAGCGAGAGCTCTGGTGAACATCAAGCAGCAGCAGAGGAGAGTGGCGGATTACGCTATCGAATTCCGGACCCTGGCAGCGGAGAGTGGGTGGAACTCGGCGGCTCTTTTTGACGCGTTCCTGCATGGGTTAGCGGATCCCATAAAGGATCAGTTAGCTCCATTAGAGCTGCCTGAAGACTTGGACTCGCTCATCGCCATGGCTATCCGGGTGGACCAACGTCTAGCTGAAAGACAACGGGAGAAAGGAGGGAATGCAGTATCCACTCCACTGTTCAGACGGGAGTTACAGAGGGAGCTACGCTTGGCGGAGGAGTTCCCAGACTTCGTCTCCAGAGCGACCGGCGCTCCCTATCGCCGCGGAGGAACAGATGCAGCTCGGAAGAGCCAAACTCACCCCGGAGGAGCGTTAGCGCCGCCTACGGGAGCGGCGGTGCTTTTACTGCGGCCAGCAGGGTCATGTTCTGGCAGCCTGTTCGGCAAAAGATCAGGCTCATCAGCAGGAAGGAGGACGCTGGTGAGCCGAGTGACTTCCTTCGACCTTCCTTCTAGAAAATTGATTCAGGTTCAAATTAAACTTAATGATAAAACTGTGACTCAGGATGCATTAATCGATTCTGGGGCTGATGAGAGCTTATTAGACTGGGAGCTGGCTAAAAGTTTGAACTTAAAGATTGTCCTTTTAGATCAGCCATTAGAGGCTAGCGCTTTGGACGGCCGCCTTCTATGTACAGTCACACATCGCACTGAGCCCATAGTAATAGTCATAGATCAGGAACACCGTGAGCATATTAGTTTTCATTTATTTAACTCTGCTCAACATCCTCTCATTTTGGGTTACCCTTGGCTTGTTAAACATAACCCTCACGTTGACTGGTAGGCCTGGCCTATAATAATAATATATAATAATGCCCATTGTCAAGCATCGTTGTAGCATTTCCCTCCGAATAATGGTTGAAGACTTGACTGATGATATGAATTTATTGAAATCTCCAATATCAACGTAAGAGCTATAAAGACACAAAAATAACAAATACATTTAGGCTCCATCCGTATTAGAATCACTTTAGCATGCTACCAAATGTTAACTGTAAACAGACAGCAAAGCTACAAAACAGCATATAAACGAATTAGGACAAAACCTACATGTTTATATTATAGTTAATACCAACTTTGTGCCTCTTCGGGAGGTGCTAAACTTAAACATAAACGTTATCCTTTACTTTCTCCGTCTTTATATGTAGATTAATCTCCGCTCCAATAAAGTGTTATACTGAGTATAAACAGGAGGGTTATGTTGGGGGTTATTTATGTTTTGCTATCACACTACTATTCTATATTCTGCACTTGTTTTATTTGAATTTAAAACATTTTTAAATACTGTTACTGTACCTATTGTTTTCCACCTGGAGGGGTACTTTTTTAAATTGTACATCGTGTAATTGATGTGTCTAATATGTTATGCATGCCTCTTAATTAATATTTAGCCTCTTTACTTTGCTGTAACTATGTAGAACCCTTCATGGATCGGTGAAACCGCTCACACAATCCGTTAGCCTGGGGGTGATATGCGGTGGTGCCGTGCAGCTTGACCCCCAAACCCACAGCAACAGCGTTCCACAGCTCCGAGGTGAACTGAGAACCGCGGTCAGAGGAGAGGTCAGCCGGGGTCCCGAAGTGCGCCACCCACGTGCCGATGAAAGCTCGGGCGACGTCGGAAGCTGACGTTGAGGTGAGGGGAACGGCCTCAGGCCAGCGGGTCGTCCTGTCCACCATCGTAAACAGGTAGGTGAAACCGTGAGAGGGGGGAAGCGGACCTACGAGGTCGACATTGACATGGTCAAACCTCCTTTCAGGAACCGCAAAAAGTTCAAAAGGGGCCCTAGTATGGCGGTGGACTTTGGCCTGTTGACAGGCCACGCATGAGTCGACCCAGGACCTCACGTCCTTCTTAAGCCCCTTCCACACCAACTTCTGCGACACCAACTTCACGGACGGCTTCCTACCGGGGTGGGAAAGAGCGAGAACCGCCTCAAAAACTGGTCGGCGCCAGTCCGCAGGGACCAGCGGTCGAGGCTGGCCCGTGGAGACACCACGGTTCGCGCCCGAGTCACCGACCGTGACCTCCTCCAGGCGCAATCCCGTGACCGAGGCCTTGAGGGTCTGGACCCCGTGGTCGGAGGCCTGGTCAGCGCCCATGCGGAGGTAATCGAGGCCCAGCTGCACAGCTCCGATGACCGCTCTGGAGAGGCAGTCCGCGACCACGTTAGCCTTGCCAGCGATGTGTCGTATGTCCGTGGTGTGCTCGGAGATGTACGAAAGCTGGCGTTGCTGTCGGGCGGACCACGGCTCGGCCACCTTGGACATGCAGAAGGTAAGTGGCTTGTGATCCACGAACGCCGCAAACTCCCGGCCTTCCAGCAGGAAACGGAAGTGGCGAACCGCCAAATAGAGACCAAGGAGTTCTCTGTCGAAAGCGCTGTACTTGCGCTCCCTGGGAGTCAACTGGCGGCTGAAAAAGGCGAGCGGTTGCCAGGTGGTGAAAGCGATAGGGGCCCTGTGTGACGGGTGAGCCAACATGGCGGCTTTGCTCAGGGCAGCTTTGGTGGCGTTGAAAGCGACCTCCCTTTCAGCCGTCCAGTCTATGGCCTGGCCGGGGGACTTGTCCTTGAGGGCCTCGTACAGCGGGCGCATGGTGTGGGCTGCCCGGCGGATGAACCGGTGATAAAACGCCACCATCCCGAGGAACTCTCGGAGCGCCCGAGCTGTAGGCGGTCGTGGAAAGGCGGACACGGCCTCCACTTTCGACGGGAGGGGGGCGGCTCCGTCCTTCCTGATGAGGTGCCCGAGGAAATGGATGGAGGACAACCCGAACTGACACTTCGCCGGGTTGATAATCAGGCTGTGTTGGTCGAGCCTCGCGAACAGGACACGGAGATGTGCCTGGTGCTCTTCGAAGGAGGAGCTGGCAACCAGGATATCGTCTAAATAGACGAAGATGAATGGCATGTCTCTGAGCGCTGAATCCATCAGCCGCTGAAAGGACTGAGCTGCGTTCTTAAGTCCAAGCGGCATACGCAGGAACTCGAAAAGCCCGAACGGCGTAATCACCGCAGTCTTGGGGACGTCCGAGGGGTGCACCGGAACCTGATGGTAGCCCCGCACCAGATCCACCTTGGAGAAAACCAGCTTGCCCGCCAGGTGTGCAGAGAAGTCCTGGATGTGAGGGACCGGGTAGCGGTCTGGTGTAGTGGCGTCGTTAAGGCGGCGGTAGTCACCACACGGTCGCCAGTCACCGGCTGACTTAGGGACCATGTGGAGCGGCGAAGCCCAAGGGCTGTCTGAGCGGCGGATCATGCCCAGACGTTCCATGTTGATGAACTCCGACTTGGCGACTGCCAGCATGTCAGGGTTGAGCCGCCGGGCCCTAGCGTAGACTGGGGGGCCGTCAGTGTCAATGTGGTGCTCTACCCCGTGCTTGGTAGTGGCAGCGAAAAAGGTGGGCTGCGTCAAGTCGGGAAACTCACTGAGAAGGTGCTGAAACATGTCGCCCTGTGAGAGTGAGCTGGAAAGCCCGCTGAATGACGCCTCGCCACGGGTACATGTGAACGAGGCAAACGTCAGTGCGTCCACCAGGCGGCTGTTCTTGACGTCCACCAGCAGTCCGTGAGCGCACAGGAAGTCTGCGCCGAGGAGGGCGAAGGAGATGTCAGCCGTGACGAAATCCCACTTAAACCGCTGACCCTCGAAGCACAGGTCCACTGTCTTTGTGCCACTAAAATACAGCAACACATGTTTGATTCATGTCATTTATAACTGGACTATTACAATTATTATTAACTTTGTCTGTACAAAGTAGCCTTACTTTCTTGTAGAAGTTCAAATGTCCAGGAAATATGCCCAAATCAACAGAAACTGCGAGCCGGCACGCAAGACGCTCCCCTTCTGAAACGCGCCCGGTGGGGTTTGTCGCTGTTGGAAGTCTGAACAAAACCACGGCGCAGACGCACCCGATGGAATCCAGGCGTAAAGTACCACTCGGTCTAGAAACAGAGTATTTATCAGCAAAGGCATTTGGTTGAATAAAACAGACATCAATGATAGTAAGTGCTAAAGACAGATATCACTCTCTCATAATATAAGTTTCTCTGTGTCTAAAGGCTACCCCTGAGTGGAAAACTACTGCGGCACTTCACCCCCCCCCCCCCCCCTCATTTCCTCTGCAGCTAATAGGGGAAGTACAGAGTTCCTCTTTCACAGAAGTCATACTACGACAGTTGGTGTTAAAACTGTTGCGTAAAAAGCAAAGATAGCGGAAATGCAGACAGACTCAGGACTGAAGAGGAGACGAGCAGTGTTTCTGTGAGTAGACCTGAAGAGCGTCTGTGAGTGGACCTGAAGAGAGTCTGTGAGTGGACCTGAAGAGAGTCTGTGAGTGGACCTGAAGAGAGTCAGTGAGTGGACCTGAAGAGAGTCTGTGAGTGGACCTGAAGAGCGTCTGTGAGTGGACCTGAAGAGCGTCTGTGAGTGGACCTGAAGAGCGTCTGTGAGTGGACCTGAAGAGCGTTCAGCAGGTGAGTATCCTCCCACAGGAATCTGTTTCTGAGTCACTGTTTACCTGGACAGAGTCAATGTTTACCTGGACAGGACACATGTTTCTTGATGCTGATTCTAAACATCAGTCTGAAATATTGTGTAGGGTTTCTCTCTGAGTGAAAGCAGAATGGGTTTAGAAAGATCTCCATGTACTGTTGTCAGTGTTTCAGGTAGAATGAGTTGCAGTCTGATTGTTCTCTGAGTTCTCGTCATCAGAGCAAAATGCAGGGCGTGTCAGAACCCGCTCTAACAACGTGTGACTGATTTTCTGTCTAACTCTTAACACTCTGAATAAGGGAAGGGGTGTGAAGGGCCCGTCTTCCAACACTGACCTGGTTTCACTGAAGAGCCTTGAAAATGTCAAATGTTTTAGATTATTCATCTGGGAATAGATCAGACAAGTAAAAAAATATATTAGTTTTAATGTTTTGATTGTAACAAATGCGTCTAAGTGGGTTATACAACACATTAGCAGTAAAGGAAATTACTGTATTATATCAAACATAAAAAATGTTGTTCCCATACATTTGAACTGCATTGTAACTTATTTATGAGGGAACTTATTTTTCATATTTCAATGATATATTAAAAATACATTTCTTATCAGTTCACAAAAGACCTTGTTTAAATTAAAGTCTGTAACATGTATTAAAGTACATATTTTAAGCCAAACAATTATATTTTAAAGAAGTTTTGTTGAAGTTTTATTGGGATATTTAGTGGGGGGCAGGGCTGTAAATTACCTGTGGATGTACATTGAAGTGACTGTTTGTGTGTGCTGTGATAAACTGTGACACACTAACACATATTTAGGGGTCAACACACTGAGTTTCTGTGTGGTTCTGGGGCTGTGGGGAACATTCTGGGCTGATCAGGTCCTGTTGAGGCTCCAACAAGGTTCCTGAATATCTGAGAGGAGGGGCTACCTGTGATGTAAAGCTTGTGGTAATGAATGAGCATGTTGTTGTGTTTGTGTGAAGGTGGGGGCTCTGCTATGGATCAGAGTGAGGACAGAGAGGAGGAAGCCCCCCCCTCTAAAGGCTCTGGGGAACATGACAGCCAGACCAAAGCTCAGAGGTGAGATCTCCACCTGTCCATGACTCTTCTCCATGTCACAGCTCAGCACTCATTATTCACTCAAAGCTCTGTGTGTTGTGTTCCAGCCCAGAGCAAACACCACATCCTGCTGGACCTGGACCTGGACCTGAACCTGGACCTGGACCTGGACCTGGACCCAGTAACCAGCTTACTGCCAGAGACCAGAACCAGGTGTGTGGTCGCCGGCTGAGTCACTCTCTTATTTCTCTCATGGTACTTATTTGTAGCAGTAGGTCAACTTGGTTTGCAGAAGTAAGAAAAGGTATCCATTGTAGCACATGCTTCATACAATATAGACAACAGACACATCTTTAAAAAGTCCCTCTGGCTCCAGAACATCCACAAAGCTTTTTTTAAACCTCTTGGTTCTACACCTTTAGGAAGATTAACCTCCGGCCCGAAGGAAGAAGCTGAAGCTCAGGTTGCAGGGGGTGGGAGTCTTCATTGAACATGGAGTTAGACAGCCTCTGTAACTGTCTGATGAGTAGGGGCTCCAGGTTTAGCTGAGACTCACCAATCAGTCTGCTAGACCACTTTATGATCTGACTGAGACAGTTTCTGCTCTTTAAAGACAGGTTACCAAACCAAGACATTAAAGGAAAAGACAGAACTGACTGTGCTGACTGTCTTCAAGTTTAGGATTGACTTCCTGAATGTCTTTCGTGAAGTCTAAGGTATTAAAACAAGTTTAGAACCGATTAGGGCATTTACTAACTCGACATCTGAATTGAAGCCATCCAAAGTCACATGGCAGCTGTTCTTTGGATCCTCAAGGCCTGTTATGGTTTTCAAAAGTACAAAGTACAATACAACAACATATTGTTCTGTAAGATAAATATTTTCTTTCTTGGTATCTGCAGGGAGAAAAGATGGAGACACCTAGAAAAGTCCTAAAAAGAACTTTACAAAGTTTGGGGGATGATGACTTTGAAGAATTCAAGTGGGAGCTGCAGGGGAAGGTCCTAGGATTCCCAGGAATCCCAAAGAGTGAACTAGAGAAAGCAAACCGGAGGGACACAGTGGATCTGATGTTTCTGTACTACGGCATACACACCTTTAAAGTGACAAGAGAAGTTTTGAGGGAGATAAATCAGAATGCTCTAGAAGAGAAATTATCAAAATTCCCATCAGACCCTGAAGGTAGGTCTTTAAAAAAGAGTGTATCAAAAGATAACTTTTTTTTATTTTTCCCAGCCATGCATCATGTTTTTAGACTCCTGATATCCCCCTCAGAGAACCATCACCTCTACATGGTGTCGGGGTTGAGGTACCCCTGAAAGCAGAGAGGTCAGGGTCACTAGTTTTTCATGGGACCCAAGGTCGTTTTACAAAGAAAAACAGCAGTCAAAACAAACAAAGGAGGAGAAGATGCTTTATTTCCTCCCTAAGTGGAAATTCAGCTCAGTTGTTCACTCGGTTGTGGTAACACACAGTACAATACACACACATGCACAGGACAGGTGAGAGAGGTCTGAACAAAACAGGCGGCCAGTCTGTCCACCACCAGGGAGCAGTTGGGGGTTCTGTGCCCTGCTCGAGGGCAGGAGGTGAACTGGCACCTCTCCAGGAACCAGTCTACACTCCGTGTTATTGTCGGTTCCCAAGACAAATTCCTACAGACTGCGGCACTAAAACACTTCGCTGCATTGGCTGGGAATCGGACCTAGGGGTCCAGGCAAGATTTCTATTGAACCACCAATGCTATATTAACGAGTTTCTCCTGGAGTCCTTGAGTGCTACGTTTTCCCAGGAAACTGACAATTCTGTTTGGAATGAGGTTTGTCCTGCCGAACTGTCAGATATCTCAGGAGGGGAGTCATGGATAAACCCCGGGTGTTTTCCACAGTGTAGGTTAGCTGCTGACTCAGTCTCAGGATGTTGAATGGGACTGATGCACACTGAGTTCAGGAGGCAGACCTGAGGGCTTGGAGAACAGCTGTTGTTGCTCAGGTGGTCAGAAGGGGCCACAGGGACACACTGTGGAGGTTTGTCCTGGCATAACATTGGACAGTTCTGATTGATATTCCTGTTCAATGTTGCATGGAGGCAGACAGTGTCATTGTCCATGTTTTAAAGGGGACTGTAGGGTGAGCTCTAAACATCAGAGGAGCACATTGCTCAGCCTCACTGGGATTGCTCACTGCAGATTATGTCCTACTCATTACTAATGGCCCAGCCCCCTACAGGTGGAAGGAGGTATCATTTGCCGTCCAACATGACTTGGTGAGGAAGGGACGGGTTATTACTGTGACCCCCCAGAGTGTCTTGTAGATGTTAGGCTACTGCAGGAGTATACTGCGACTCACTAAGAGCCATCCACTTCCTGTATAACTGGAGAGGGAGCTGTGTCCACACCCTCAGTGGGTGCTGGGATCAGCTGGTATCGTGCCTCATCTCCCAGCAGCAGGAATAAGAGTCAGTCAGGTTTAGGGCCATGGTTCTCTGTGGGAAAACTGATGGTTCTCTGTGGGGTGGAACATATACTGGACAATGTACAGATAATTATGCAACAATATCCAGTGACTTGATAAAAGGAAAATAACTTGCTATTTTGTCAGAAATGGGTCCAATTAGAAGGAAATATGTTGATGTGTCTTTCATGTAAATATCTTTCTTGTTCATTCAGATATTCTCACAAAGTGCCAAGGTGAACTCAAATCTAACCTGAAGGAAACATTTAAAAATATCAAATTAATAGAAAAATCTGAATCCCTAAATGAAATCTACACGGAGATCTACATCACCAAGGGAGACACCGGAGAGGTCAACAAGGAACATGAGATCAGACAGATCGAACAAGCATCCAGTAAACCAGACAGATCAGAAACACCCATCAGACAAGAAGACCTCTTTAAAGGCTCAACTGAAAGAGATGCACCAATTAGAGTGATGACAAAGGGAGTGGCTGGCATTGGGAAAACAGTCTTAACACAGAAGTTCACTCTGGACTGGGCTGAAGGCAAAGCCAACCAGGACATCCAGTTCATATTTCCATTACCTTTCAGAGAGCTGAATGTGGTGAGAAAGGAAAAGTTCAGCTTGGTGGAACTTGTTCATCACTTCTTCTCTGAAACCAGAGAAGCAGGAATCTGCAGGTTTGATAAGTTCAAGGTTGTGTTCATCTTTGACGGTCTGGATGAGTGTCGACTTCCTCTGGACTTCCACAACACTGACATCCTGACTGATATCAGAAAGTCCACCTCAGTGGACGTGCTGCTGACAAACCTCATCAGGGGGAAGCTGGTTCCCTCTGCTCGCCTCTGGATAACCACACGACCTGCAGCAGCCAATCAGATCCCTCCTGAGTGTGTGGACATGGTGACAGAGGTCCGAGGGTTCACTGACCCACAGAAGGAGGAGTACTTCAGGAAGAGGTTCAGAGATCAGGAGCAGGCCGGCACCATCATCTCCCACATCAAGACCTCACGAAGCCTCCACATCATGTGCCACATCCCAGTCTTCTGCTGGATCTCTGCTTCAGTTCTGGAGGACATGTTGAAAACTGAGGGAGGAGAGCTGCCCAAGACCCTGACTGAGATGTACATCCACTTCCTGGTGATTCTGTCGAAAGTGAACGTCAAGTATGATGGAGCAGTTAAGACAGGTCTAAACTGGAGTCCAGAGAGCAGGAAGATAATGGAGTCTCTGGGAAAACTGGCTTTTGAGCAGCTGCAGAAAGGCAACCTGATCTTCTATAAGTCCAACCTGAGAGAGTGTGGCATCGATATCAGAGCAGCCTCAGTGTACTCAGGAGTGTTCACACAGGTCTTTAGAGAGGTGAGAGGAACGTACAAGAACACAGTGTTCTGCTTCGTCCATCTGAGCGTTCAGGAGTTTCTGGCTGCTCTTCATGTCCATCTGACCTTCATCAACTCTGGAGACAACCTGATGGCCCCCTGGTGGTCTAAAGTCTTCAGACAAAAACCTAAACATCTCTACCAGAGTGCTGTGCACAAGGCCTTACAGAGTCCAAACGGACACCTGGACTTGTTCCTCCGCTTCCTCCTGGGTCTTTCACTGGAGACAAATCAGACCTTATTACAGGACCTGCTGACACAGACAGGAAGTAGCTCACAGACCAACCAGAAAACAGTTGAATACATCAAGAAAAAGATAAGAAAGCACCCGTCTCCGGAGAAAAGCATCAACCTGTTCCACTGTCTGAATGAACTGAATGATCGTTCTCTAGTGGAGGAGATCCAACAGTCCCTGAGTTCAGGCAGTCTCTCCACAGAGGATCTGTCTCCTGCTCAGTGGTCAGCTCTGGTCTTCATCTTACTGTCATCAGAAGAAGATCTGGACGTGTTTGACCTGAAGAAATACTCTGCTTCAGAGGAGGCTCTTCTGAGGCTGCTGCCAGTGGTCAAAGCCTCCAACAAAGCTCTGTAAGTGGAGATAAAACTACATCAACTAGGAACAGTTTGAGACATGATAATATAACTCTTTGTGTTCACTGCTGATCTTTCCCCAGGCTGAGTGGCTGCAACCTGTCAGAGAGAAGCTGTGAAGCTCTGTCCTCAGTCCTCAGCTCCCAGTCCTCTAGTCTGAGAGATCTGGACCTGAGTAACAACGACCTGCAGGATTCAGGAGTGAAGAAGCTGTCTGCTGGACTGGAGAGTCCACACTGTGAACTGGAGACTCTCAGGTCAGAGTTCAGCTTTTTATTTTCAAGCAGTTCAATTATTTCATCCAGCTTTTTGTTCATGTTGATAAAGATGGTCCACCTCTGTATGACTTTTTAAAGCACTGAGTTTACTGTATTCCCTGGTTGCAGTCTGTCAGGCTGTATGGTCACAGAGGAAGGCTGTGTTTCTCTGGCTTCAGCTCTGAGCTCCAACCCCTCCCATCTGAGAGAGCTGGACCTGAGCTACAATCATCCAGGAGACTCAGGAGAGAAGCTGCTTTCTGCTGGACTGGAGGATCCACTCTGGAGACTGGACACTCTCAGGTATGGACAGACTGAATTCCTCCTATTTTTCAAATGTAATCTCCTTCATCTCTGGGCTTCCATCATGAAGGACGTCTAATTTCCCTTGAATATGTTCACTGCAGTGAGTTAACCTTGAAGTCTTATTACATGGAAACAGCCATTCAGTCCAAACATCAGAACCACTGGTTTCCAGGGCGGTGGTGGCGAAGTTGATAGGGACTTGGCTTGGCAACTGGAAGGTCACCAGTTCGAGTCCCGGCAAGACCAAGTGCTACCGAGGTGTCCCTGAGCAAGGCACCGTTCCCTACACTGCTCCCCGGGCGCCGTCCACGGCAGCACACTGCTCCTAACACTAGGATGGCTCAAATGCAGAGGAACAATTTTGTTACATAGTACCTGTACTGTGAAATGACAATAAGAGCAATTTTTTTTTTTTTCCTGGCTCTAAGGAGGATAATGATGGTCAGTTTATGGGTTTGGTTCTGACTGAGATATCTCACCAACTGCTAAATATGTTGAGATGAGATTCTGTTTGACATTTATGATCCCCAGAGGGACGATCCGGACTTTTCCACCTGCACCACTGTGAAATGTGATTGAATTGATAAAGACTCTCTGAAAATCTTTACATAATTTCTTCTTCTTCTTCTTTTTCTTTTTCTTCTTCTTCTCTCAAGTGGGACATGATTATGTTTTTCCTGCCTTGAGTGTGGGTCCTGCGGTGGGGGAATGGAGAGAGGAGGATGGTCTCCTGCTATCACTGGGGACTCTAACACCTGGAAAATTCAGCTCCTGCAATGGAAAGAAGCTATACCTTAGCTGCGTAAAGGTGCTAAACCTCAGCTCGCTCGCAGGCGTCAGAGAGTCGAGGTGGACGGATGTGTTTGGCTTGGGCTTTTCCCCTCAGGGCAGCTGGCGGATCCTGTATAAAGCTTCGGTTGAGAAACGGATGGCTGACATCCAATGGAGAATCATACATGGAGCACTAGCCACTAACAAATACAGAGCTCATTTTGACCCGGGCACAAGGGGGCGCTGTCCGTTCTGTTTTATGGCAGAAACATTGGAGCATTTAGTGGTGTCCTGTCCCAGATTGGCTGGTCTTAAAAGAATGTTACAGGAGTGGGTGGAAAGGTTCGGGGAGGTTTTCTCCATACCACTTTGTGTCCTTGGCCCCAAATACATCCTGAAAAATAGGGAAACTCTAGTATTGATACATTTCTTGTTTGCTAATGCAAAATGAGCGATCTGGAAAAGTAGGAAGAACCAAGTTGCTGGAGTGGGATGGACGGATGCAGTGCTCTGTCTGAGGGGGCTGGTGGCAGCACGTCTGAGGGTGGAACATGCGTACTATACGCTGATCAATCATCTGCAGGGGTTTCTGGATGTGTGGGCTGTTGGTCAGGTTCTGTGCTCACTGGGGGAGAAGGACTCTCTAATATTGAAGTTTTAAAGGATAGGTGTAGTCTTTGTTTTTAAAGAGTGTAAAAGAGGATGTTTTTAAATGGGTAAAATGCTTCAAATGATATTTATTTGGTAGTCATGAAAATCTGGTTATTTATTTATTTAGGTTTTTGCAATGTATTAGATTTGTTCCGACTCTTTTGGAGGTTGGGTGTATAGTTAAAACAAATGCAAATACCATTTGTTTAAAAAAATCAAAAATCTTCTCTCAAGTGAGTCGGAAGAAGCAAAGTGGATTTTATATCCTTTTCATGTCTTTAATATGCGTTAATTTGAAGTAGGTTATTTTTTGGGTTATAAATTGTTTCACTTAGTAAGGTGGTGGAGAGCATGACAACAGCTGTTGATGATTTGTTTGAATGTGTTACAGTAGATATGTGTATGGAAAGGTCTAAACATGTTATTGTGAGCTGTATATACAGAGCTTCTGGAACCTGTATTGACACATTTACAGATAGGATAGAAACATGTTTACTAAATCATTACAAAACATGATGTTTATCTGTGGGGATTAGAATATTGACCTGTTGAATCCAAAAAAGCATCAAATGACAGAAGACTTCATCAATGCATTGTACAGTATGGGTTTGTATCCTAAAACCACCAGACCTAGTAGAATCACTTCTCTGCTACATGAATAGACAACATATTCACAAACATTATGGAGAACAATACAGCAGGGACTACTATATAGTGACATCAGTGATCATTCACCTGTTCTTATTGTCTATCACTGCAGTTATAAGAAACCTAAAGTCTCCAGCCATTTCAAATACAAAAGATTGAGAACTGAAGAAAACATAAATGCATTTAAGAATGACTTACTAAATCAGAATTGGAAGGTAGTATATGAGAGAGACGATATGGACAAGGCCTATGAGGAATTTCTAAACATTTTGAAATCACTTTATGACAAAAAGTGTCCTGTGAAACAATGCAGAGAGAGAGACAAACAAAGTCACAGTGCATGGATCACTGATGGCCTAAACAATGCAGAGAGAGACACAAACAAAGTCACCGTGCATGGATCACTGATGGCCTCAACAATGCAGAGAGAGACACAAACAAAGTCACAGTGCATGGATCACTGATGGTCTAAACAATGCAGAGAGAGACACAAACAAAGTCACCGTGCATGGATCACTGATGGCCTCAACAATGCAGAGAGAGACACAAACAAAGTCACAGTGCATGGATCACTGATGGCCTAAACAATGCAGAGAGACACAAAGTCACCGTGCATGGATCACTGATGGCCTAAACAATGCAGAGAGACACAAACAAAGTCACAGTGCATGGATCACTGATGGCCTAAACAATGCAGAGAGAGACACAAACAAAGTCACAGTGCATGGATCACTGATGGCCTAAACAATGCAGAGAGAGACACAAACAAAGTCACTGTTAATGGATCACTGATGGCCTAAACAATGCAGAGAGACAAACAAAGTCACCGTGCATGGATCACTGATGGCCTAAACAATGCCTGCAAAAAGAAAAATACACTTTATAGACAACTCATAGAATATAGAACTTCAGAAGCAGAATATAAATATAAAAGATATAAGAATAAATTAACCAATATTATGAGAATATGTAAGAAAGAATACTTTAATAAAATACTAAGAATACTCAGAATGAAAGGTTTATGGAAGGTATTAAATAGTATCGTTAGAAACGGAGCAAAGAGTACAGGTTACCCTGAGTTTCTTGTTGACAAAGATAATGTTATCAATAACACAGAAGATGTGGTTCATGGTTTGAACCAACTCTTTGTAAATGTGGGGCCAGATCTGCAGAAAGAATGAAAAGCGTAGAAACAACTAAAGGGGAAGATACAGACCTCTGGAATGAAAACAATAGCTCTTTCTTCCTCAGAGCAGTCGAAGAAAGAGAAATCATAGACACTGTACGGAAATGTAAAAGCAAGTCCTCGACCGATTGGAATCATATTGATATGATTATAGTCAGAAACATTATTGAAGACATTGCAGAACCATGAACACATCTTTGTAACTTGTCTTTTCAATCTGGTACATTCCCTAATGAAATGAAAATAGCTAAAGTTATACCATGATATCAAACTGGGGATGAACTCCATGACACACATCACATGTTTCTTTGCTCTCCCACTTTCATCCTTGAAAAGGGTTTTACAAAAAGACTTGACAGTTTCATGGAAACACATCAGCTGTTGGACGACAGTCAATATGGATTCAGGAAAGACAGATCAACATGTACGGCACTAATGGGATTAAGTGAGGAAATAGCAAACTGCTTGGACAATAAAAAAACAAGCAGTGGGAATATTGATAGAGCTACAGAAAGCATGTGACACCATGGATCCCAACATGTTACTGACACCACTGGAAAAGTATGGCATCAGAGGGTTAGACTGGCTGAGAGATTATTGAAGCAACAGACAACACTTTGTGAAATAGGTGAACATAAATCAGAAGACATGAACATAACTTGTGGAGTACCTCAGGGGTCTGTGTTGGGTCCACAGCTGTTCATCATATACATCAACCATATCTGCAGAGTATCAAATATATTGACATGTATTGTATTTGCAGATGATACTAATATGTTTTGTTCTGGTGACAGTTTGAAACAGCTAATGGAGGTAATAACAGCAGACATGATTCAAGTCAAACATTGGTTTGATAAGAACAAATGATCATTACATATAAGCAGAACAAAGATTATGCTCTTTGGAAAACATAAAAAAAATCCTCAGGTTAATCCTAGACAACATAAACATAGAAAGAGTATATGTAAACAAGTTCCTTGGTGTTAGAGCACAACATCAGCTGGAAACCTCATATCCATCATGTCAAAGCTAAACTGGCTAAGACTATCGCACTATTGGGGAAAGCAAGACACATTCTGGAGTACACATGATGTACTCTGTGATACACTCATATCACATCATGATATACTCTGTGTGATACACTCATATCACATCATGATATACTCTGTGTGATACACTCATATCACATCATGATATACTCTGTGTGATACACTCATATCACATCATGATATACTCTGTGTGATACACTCATATCACATCATGATATACTCTGTGTGATACACTCATATCACATCATGATATACTCTGTGTGATACACATATCACATCATGATATACTCTGTGTGATACACTCATATCACATCATGATATACTCTGTGTGATACACTCATATCACATCATGATACACTCTGTGTGATACACTCATATCACATCATGATATACTCTGTGCGATACACTCATATCACATCATGATATACTCTGTGATACACTCATATCACATCATGATATACTCTGTGTGATACACTCATATCACATCATGATATACTCTGTGTGATACACTCATATCTCCATGTCTGAGTTACTGTGTGGAGATCTGGGGAAACACAAAACCAACCTGCAGCCGTTATGCACATTACAAAAAGGGCTCTAAGAGTAATCAATAATGTTGGATATCTTGAACACACTCATTCATTATTCTTGAAGTCACACACACTGAAGTTTACTGATCTGGTTACATTTCAAACTGCATCATGTACAGAGCAAGAGATCATCTACTTCCTAGGACACTACAGACGTTGTTCATAGACAGAGAGGGGGGGTATCATCTGAGAGGAGATCTACATCTGAAACAACTCAAGGTCAGAAGAACTCTGAGAAGAGCAGAACAATCTGTGGGGGGGGGGGTTTCATGGAGCGGCTTGGAGCAGGAGTTCAAACAAAGCACACATAGCATTCACTTTGAAGGATGCACAGAAACACTTCTTTGGAAAACTATGAGAATGAAGAAAGGAGATTGAAGAGGAGAAATGATTGTAAATGTATAAATGTAAATATGTAAGTAGGAATAACTTGCAGAAATGATTGAAAGGATAATCATTGATCAGCAGGAAGTAAGGGGGATCAATAAGCATCTGCTCCCTCCTGCTCCCTTCGGACACATAGGATTTATTATTATGATGAACATTGATAAATACTTTATTCTAACAATACGCTGTTCTGTTTCTCACATGTGTTTCTTCCTCCAGGCTGGACCATGGTGGAGAGCAGAGGTTAAAACCAGGTGTGAGGAAGTGTAAGTGTGGATCAGTCAGCTTCTCTCTGAAGACACAGATGATGGAGGTGCTATTTATTCATTAAACATGACATCTTGAAGCTTTATAGAAAGATCACTAACAGAGAGGAAAGCCTTCAGGTGAGTCTGATGATAAACTGCTGTCTGTGTCTCTCATCAGATTCCTGTGAACTCACCGTGGACTCAAACACAGTGAACAGAGACCTCATCCTGTCTGAGGACAACAGGACGGTGACATGTGTGGAGGAGCAGCCATATCCTGATCATCCAGAGAGGTTTGAGTACTGTCCTCAGCTGATGTGCAGAGAAGCTCTGACTGGTCTCTGTTACTGGGAGGTCGAGTGGAGAAAAGGGGTTTCTATATCAGTGACTTACAGAGGAATCAGGAGGAAAGGAGACATAGATGACTGTGAGTTTGGAGAGAATGATCAGTCCTGGAGTCTGTACTGCTCTGATGGTGGTTACTCTGCCAAGCACAATAAGAGGGGAACACACATCCCCTCCTCCTCCACCTCCTCTAGTAGAGTAGCAGTGTATGTGGATCATCCTGCTGGCTCTCTCTCCTTCTACAGAGTCTCCTCTGACACACTGACCCACCTTCACACCTTCAGAACCACATTCACTGAACCTCTCTACGCTGGGTTTACAGTCTGGCCTGACTCTTCAGTGTCTCTGTGTCCTCTGTACTGTAAAAAAAAAACTCGTAAAAAAACGGTCAAAGTACTGGCAGCAGCGGCTGCCAAACAAAAACCCTTAAATTAAAGTAAAATACTTTAACTGAAATAAAGTGAATAAGCCATTAATTTACGGGAATTGTCCTTAAAGATTTTACAGGAAAACACTGTAATTTTACAGATTTATCTGCTCTTTTTACAGTCAATAACCTTTAATAAAAGTACAGCACTAAAACTTCTACGGGCAAAAAACCCGTAAAAAAAACGGTCAAATGACTGGCAGCAGCGGCTGCCAAACAAAAACCCTTAAATTAAAGTAAAATACTTTAACTGAAATAAAGTGAATAAGCCATTAATTTACGGGAATTGTCCTTAAAGATTTTACAGGAAAACACTGTAATTTTACAGATTTATCTGCTCTTTTTACAGTCAATAACCTTTAATAAAAGTACAGCACTAAAACTTCTACGGGCAAAAAACCCGTAAAAAAAACGGTCAAATGACTGGCAGCAGCGGCTGCCAAACAAAAACCATCAAATTAAAGTAAAAATACTTTAACTGAAATAAAGTGCAAAAGCAATTAGTATACAGAAATTGTCCTTAAAGATTTAAGTCCTATTCTAATGTCCTTAAAGAGGAAACTTTCCTCTCTTTTCAAAATCCATTGTCTTAAAATGTTACATTCAAATACCTTAAATAAAGTTCTGATGAGAAAAACAGTTTTTTACATTTTTTTTTTATTAGATTTGTATGATCAAACACTAAAATAAATACAGAACCTAAAGTTCTACAGGTAGAATACTGTTATTTTACAGCTTTTTTCTAACATTTTCCAATCAAACAGGTTCAATAAAATCACAAAATGTTCTGTAGGAAACAATTACTCTGAAAACTTAAAATATAAAAATATTTGTAGAATTATAGTACAACTAATGAATACAGCATTTCATATTTAAACATCATACTTATAAACAGTAGAAACAAAAAGTAAGTTGAATTTTTTAAGAGTACTTTGAAACATTCTCAACTGAAAATAACAGAAATTACAAAATGGCAACATATGTTCACATTGTCCATTTGAAGGAGCAGTGTGCAGGATTTAGTACGTCTAACAATGGGGATGTAGGTTCCAACCAATGGATAACTTGTTCACTCACCCTCCTATCCCAAGTTTGTAGAATGTATATTGGCTGCAAAAAACTTGAGGCCCAATCATGTTTCCTCTGTCCATTCTGCGCTACTGTAGACGTGGCAGTGCAACCTAGAGGACAAAAAGATCAGAATCAGAAACGGGTTTATTGCCAGGTAGGTTCACACGTATGAGGAATTTGACTAGGTGTCATACAAATAAAAAAATAAAATAAAAAAAAGTACACAGATAGCGAACTATATTAAGAACACTGTAATACAAATATAGTAAGATAGCAATAAAATAAAGCAGTAATATACATCGAAATAGAATGCAATAAATTATAGAATATAAAATATGTGCAGTAAGCAATATTTAAACATTGCATTATTTACCATCCTGTGATCTCCATTATGTAATGCATAGAGTCTGCGTTGTGGATGAGGTAAAGTGTCAGTGGGGGGGGCCTTGTTGAGGTGGCGAGAGGTTTTGGTCCTGGTGGCGAGAGGTTTTGGTCCTGATGGAGAGAGGTTTTGGTCCTGATGGAGAGAGGTTTTTGTCCTGATGGAGAGAGGTTTTGGTCCTGATGGAGAGAGGTTCTGGTCCTGATGGAGAGAGGTTTTGGTCCTGATGGAGAGAGGTTTTGGTCCTGATGGAGAGAGGTTCTGGTCCTGATGGAGAGAGGTTCTGGTCCTGATGGAGAGAGGTTTTGGTCCTGATGGAGAGAGGTTTTGGTCCTGATGGAGAGAGGTTCTGGTCCTGATGGAGAGAGGTTTTGGTCCTGATGGAGAGAGGTTTTGGTCCTGATGGAGAGAGGTTTTGGTCCTGATGGAGAGAGGTTCTGGTCCTGATGGAGAGAGGTTTTGGTCCTGATGGAGAGAGGTTTTGGTCCTGATGGAGAGAGGTTTTGGTCCTGATGGAGAGAGGTTTTGGTCCTGATGGAGAGGTTTTGGTCCTGATGGAGAGAGGTTTTGGTCCTGATGGAGAGAGGTTTTGGTCCTGATGGAGAGAGGTTCTGGTCCTGATGGAGAGAGGTTTTGGTCCTGATGGAGAGAGGTTTTGGTCCTGATGGAGAGAGGTTTTGGTCCTGATGGAGAGAGGTTCTGGTCCTGATGGAGAGAGGTTTTGGTCCTGATGGAGAGAGGTTTTGGTCCTGATGGAGAGAGGTTTTGGTCCTGATGGAGAGAGGTTCTGGTCCTGATGGAGAGAGGTTTTGGTCCTGATGGAGAGAGGTTCTGGTCCTGATGGAGAGAGGTTCTGGTCCTGATGGAGAGAGGTTTTGGTCCTGATGGAGAGGTTCTGGTCCTGATGGAGAGAGGTTTTGGTCCTGATGGAGAGAGGTTTTGGTCCTGATGGAGAGAGGTTATGGTCCTGATGGAGAGAGGTTCTTGGTCCTGATGGAGAGAGGTTCTGATCCTGATGGAGAGAGGTTTTTGGTCCTGATGGAGAGAGGTTCTGGTCCTGATGGAGAGAGGTTCTGGTCCTGATAGAGAGAGGTTCTGGTCATGATTGGAGAGAGGTTTGGTCCTGATATGGAGAGAGGTTTTGGTCCTGATGGAGAGAGGTTCTGGTCCTGATGGAGAGAGGTTTCTGGTCCTGATGGAGAGAGGTTCTGGTCCTGATGGAGAGAGGTTCTGGTCCTGATGAGAGAGGTTTTGGTCCTGATGGAGAGAGTTTGGTCCTGATGGAGAGAGGTTTTGGTCCTGATGGAGAGAGGTTTTGGTCCTGATGGAGAGAGGTTCTGGTCCTGATGGAGAGAGGTTTTGGTCCTGATGGAGAGAGGTTTTGGTCCTGATGGAGAGGTTTTGGTCCTGATGGAGAGGTTTTGGTCCTGATGGAGCGCAGCCTCCTGCCAGAGCGGAGGGGGGTGAACAGTTTGTGTCCAGGGTGGGAGGGGTCGGCCACTATCTTTCCTGCCCGCCTCAGGGTCCTGGAGGCATGCAGGTCGTGGAGGGATGGCAGATTGCAGCCGATCACCTTCTCTGCAGAGCGGATGACACGCTGCAGCCTGCCCTTATCCTTGGCTGTGGCTGCAGCGTACCAGATGGTGATGGAGGAGGTGAGGATGGACTCCATGATGGAGGTGTAGAAGTTCACCATCATCGTCTTTGGCAGGTTGAATTTCTTCAGCTGCCTCAGGAAGAACATCCTCTGCTGGGCTTTTTTGATGAGGGAGCTGCTGTTCTGCTCCCATTTGAGGTCCTGGGCGATAATGGTGCCCAGGAAGCGGAAAGACTCCACAGCAGTTACTGGGGAGTCACACAGAGTGATGGGGAGTCACACAGAGTGATGGGGGGGTCACACAGAGTGATGGGGAGTCATACAGAGTGATGGGGGCGGGCGGGGCTGCGTTCTTCCTAAAGTCCACAACCATCTCCACTGTCTTGAGAGCGTTGAGCTCCAGGTGGTTGTCCCCACACCAGGTCACCAGATGGTCCATCTCCCACCTGTAGGCAGACTCGTCCCCACCAGAGATGAGTCCGATGAGCGTGGTGTCGTCTGAACTTCAGGAGCTTGACAGACTGGTGACTGGAGGTGCAGCTGTTGGTGTACAGGGAGAAGAGCAGAGGGGAAAGAACGCAGCCTTGAGGGGAACCGGTGCTGATGGTCCGGGGGTCAGAGACGTGTTTCCCCAGCCTCACGTGCTGCTTCCTGTCAGACAGGAAGTCTGTGATCCACCTGCAGCTGGGAGAGCTTGTCCTGCAGCAGAGCTGAAGTCCACAAACAGGATCCTGGCGTAGGTTCCTGTTTGTGGACTTCAGCTCTGCACACACACACACACACACACACACACACACACACACACACACACACACACACACACACACACACACACACACACACACACACACACACACACACACACACACACAGATTATTTCATAAATTTAGAAGGGGGGAACATAGTCTAACAACAGTTAGCTTTTGTTAATTTTACCTCGAGCCAAACTTGTGAGACTTGTTTCTGAAATCCCTTTCTCTTAAAGTGAATAAAAAACAAAAAAAACAATGGAGCTTACCCTAAAACTAACCACTGGATTGCTTGTCTAACATGACCTAGTCCATAAATGAGGTAAGGGTGGGAACAATCAAACGCACCCTCCCAGGTACTGCGTGTTAGGGAAGTACAACTGGGATTTCGAAGAGGAAGATATGCTTGGTCAATTCTTAATAAAAAAGGAAAACCAACAAATTGAGCACTTGAGTTTTCATTAGCAGCGCCTAGCTACAGCTGCGGAGCTTCGGTCAATACCGCTAACAGTCTATTTCCTTAAAATGGTACATATCGCTGAATCTATATTTTCATCTTCAGTTGATGAAATCTGCATAATGTCCCTGTACAATAAGATTCGAGCATTTTGTAATCCAGTGAGGAAATTCAAGACCAGTAAATATTGATTGATTAAACAACACTAAATAAAATGTTAGTGTTTTCTTCAAACTCAGACTCTCTGCTGCGGCTGTACCTCAAAAGACAAAACAATTGTCTGATGATCTTTGTTGAAAAAGGTCTGATTGTCCTGTACATGTACAATGTGGGGTATTTTTAAATACTTTACTAAACCACATTGAATATTATGTTAGACACAAGTTAGTTATTACTCACATATCAAAGTCTTTTCATCTGCAAGATGGAAGAATAGCTGGGTGCTGCCTGGAGAGACTGATGAGAGGCTGGCGTTAGCAGCTTTCCACACCATCACATCTTCTATTCCATAGTCTTCACTGTCCACTGGTGCTCTGTCAAAAGAGTGAACATCACAGCTGTCATGTTAACCCTTTGTTACACAACATACAACCAACATGCGTCAAAAGTGACGCGAATTAGTTTTAATTGTAAATATCTTTGCAATAAATTACTTTAATCATTCAGGATTCCAGGTATTCCTCAATTAACCTGTTTTGGATCAACACCAATTCTAATTTTTACTTTCTTACTTTTTGAATAAAAATCATGTTTGTATCACTACACTTCTAATATATAAGGGACAACATGGGTCAAACATTGCTGTATTCTTTTGCTATGTTATTTCATGCATGGCTGAGTGTTTATTTACTATACATTTTCAAAAATAATTAATTTTAGCAGTGATTTGGACCAAGCATGTATGATGTAGTAATACAACAAGTATTTTAGTTCACACAGTGTGACATTAGCTAGTCATGTTAGCTTGTAATATATAGAGCAGAGCTAACTAGCAAGTTAGCCGAACGTTAGCGGTTAGCTGTTTATGCTATGCTAGCTGTTGGCTACTGAAGTAAAAAGATATGATTCTAAACTGTATTGAAGTAAACATGTATTATTTTGAATTGTATTTTAGTGAACATGTATTGTTTGAACTGTTTTAAGTAATCACATATATAGAAATGATATTCTCACTTACAACTCACTGACCCAGGGATCCTGTTTCACACACACCTCCTTTTCACCCCCACACACACATGTTCTTTTTAAGGTCGTTATGGACATCATTATATATGTGCACAAAGGTTTAATTGTTTGAGAAAGAATAGTTTATGTGAAAAACTCCCATGGGAAAGTAAGGGAGTGAAGATCGGGGCAGAGATAAAGATTGACTTTTGACCTTGTGAAACTTTAGAATCTCACGTTCTGGTCAGAACTCTGATTCGCTGTATTGAACCCGACCAGAAGTGAATCCAACCAGTAAAAACACCTGGGGGATGTGAGCAGCTCATACAGCTCCTCCCCACGGACTCTCTAATTCGCTTTGGAGTAAAAGGGGAAGGGAAAAGTCAACACATCTCCGCCCCAAAATATGAGTATGAATACTGTTGTTTTTGAATGTAAAATGCTTCTGGTTTGCTGAAAGCTGGTGCTAGAGACGGTAAACCGCATCACAAACCTGGAGTCCATACTTCTCGTTTTCTGAAAGCTGGTCTGTCTACCTGTAAAACCGCATCACAAGCCTGAAGGCCGGAGTACTCTGTATAACTTGTATATGTGTTTGGTTTCCTACCAGTAAACTCAGATAATTGTTATAACTTTTGATTCCGGTGTTTTCAATTCCTTTCTTTATTTAATAGAGATTCAGCCTCATCCAACGAACGGCGCGTAGCAGAGGGGGTGGCTATCAGCCACCAGATAGGTGTTCTGCTCCAACACTACTGAACATTAACAAACTGGATTCCGCTGTAAGAAAGCTGTGAAACTTTACATTAAACTTGGCGACAACACTGTGACACCCCGCTGCATGTTTATGTGTAATTCTCCCGTGTTGGAGACGAGAGGGTGGCGGCAGCACTGCAATAAGCTGTAAGCTAACGTTAGCAGCCACCTTGTTAAACCAGGTTTCCCGGGCGCAACATCTAGCAAGAAACAGCATCTCAGGGCTTCTTAACATTTAACAACCTATTAATGATGCAAACTCAGCTAACTAGAAGAAGAAACGTAACCTTAAATAAAAAATAAAACATTCACAAACTAAGGATTATCTAAATACATGTTTAACTCCATTACAGTTGCAGGACTCACCAGATCTCAAGTCTTCTGTTCTTTGTTGACGTCCCGATGCTCATATTTAACGTGTAGATGTAAAACGATCCCGATATTAATCCATAAACTCCTGCAGTAGACATACAGACAGCTGTAGCTCCGCAGGAGGAGACCCGCTCTAACTGACGTGAATGTTTCAAATGTGAACGACAGGCGCGGGCAGTTCTCATTGGCAGGTTTCTTCGATTACGTTTATATTAACCAATCAGGAGTGTTGTGGACTCATTCCAAACATGCCTGACTTGTCTGCCGTGTTATGGCTGAATTCTATTTCAAGTGCCGTAGCTCTGGCTGTCGGCCAGAATCCGAAAACCATGCACATTATACTGCATGTAACCCCTAGATTCCACCGGGTCCGTCTGCGCCGCGTTGCGGTTTTGGTCCGGCCTCCTCCGGCGTCATACCCTACCAGGCGCGTTTCAGAAGCATTTCAGAAGCATTTCAGAAGCGGAGCGTCTTGCCTGCCGGCTCGCAGTTTTTGTTGATTTGGGCATATTTCCTGGACAGGCTACTTTGTACAGACAAAGTTAATAATAACTGTAATATTCCAGTTATAAACGACATGAATCAAAGATGTGTTGCTGTATTTTAGTGGTAAAAAAATGCATTCATCATCATAATTATTCTATATATATAATTTACACAGTGCCTGTAAACCGGAGGAGAACGCTGGCATTTCTCCTCCTACTTGAAAGACTACGGAGGGATAGGGTCGGCAAAATTAGTTTGTGTGTGTGTGTGTATGTATATATATATATATGCTCTGACCGTTCCACTTCCTGCCTGCCCGACCTTACGTTACGCCTGCGCCGCGACAAAAATAGGATTCGATCCTAATTTTAGAGGAGCCCTGCGCCGAGCCGCTTCTGGGACGCTTCTGAGCCGTAACGCGCCACGTGTGGTGGAATAGCACCCATTGACTAGAGTGGCCGCGATCGCCGTGAGCACCGCGGCGCAGCCGTAACGCGTCCGTAACGCGCCCGTAACGCGCCGCCGGTGGAATCTAGGGGTTACCCCTAGATTCCACCGGGTCCGTCTGCGGCGCGTTACGGGCGCGTTACGGGCGCGTTACGGGCGCGTTACGGCTGCGCCGCGGGCGCGTTACGGCTGCGCCGCGGTGCTCACGGCGATCGCGGCCACTCTAGTCAATGGGTGTTATTCCACCACACGTGGCGCGTTACGGCTCAGAAGCGTCCCAGAAGCGGCTCGGCGCAGGGCTCCTCTAAAATTAGGATCGAATCCTATTTTTGTCGCGGCGCAGGCGTAACGTAAGGTCGGGCAGGCAGGAAGTGGAACGGTCAGAGCATATATATATATATACATACACACACACACACAAACTAATTTTGCCGACCCTATCCCTCCGTAGTCTTTCAAGTAGGAGGAGAAATGCCAGCGTTCTCCTCCGGTTTACAGGCACTGTGTAAATTATATATATAGAATAATTATGATGATGAATGCATTTTTTTACCACTAAAATACAGCAACACATCTTTGATTCATGTCGTTTATAACTGGAATATTACAGTTATTATTAACTTTGTCTGTACAAAGTAGCCTGTCCAGGAAATATGCCCAAATCAACAAAAACTGCGAGCCGGCAGGCAAGATGCTCCGCTTCTGAAATGCTTCTGAAACGCGCCCGGTAGGGTATGACGCCGGAGGAGGCCGGACCAAAACCGCAACGCGGCGCAGACGGACCCGGTGGAATCTAGGGGTAAGGCTTATTACTGTATGGGAAAAAAAACACAGCAACATAACACATAAATAAAACAAGGATAACTGTGACTTATTGTTGAGTAAATAACAGTGTGTGTTTTAAACCTGGGTCCTCCCTGCAGAGATTTCTCCACTTTCTAAGATTTTTTTTTTTTAATGATATTGTCAACTGGAGATGTTTACAATATAGTAAGTTAGGAATTTAATGAAAACATATTTATTTACTTTTGTTTCAACATTGGATATTTTGTGTTTGTGGTGGATTCAATCGAATATTGAGAAAATTATTTATGTAAAAATGTTTTACTTACATTTTACGTTTTTTTTATTTGACGCTTTTTTTTAGTTTTATGTTTACCTTAAAATTACAATTTACAGTTATTTCCTGTAAAATTACGATCTTTTTTTACAGTGTGTAGGAGAAGACCACTTCCTGTCCTGGGGTTTAAATGTTAGTGTTTTAAAGGTCCCATGTCATGCTTTTCCGGTTCTTACCCGTCCCCTTGTGTTATGAAGGTTTTTATGCATGTAAACGGTGTGCAGAGTCAAAACCCTCAAAGTACACCCTGTAGCGAGTAAAACTCTAACACAGAAAAGACCTCCCCAAAACGCCTCGTTGGAGATACGTCATTGTCCATTTGAGTCTTCCGGGTACGGCATGTCATGTCATGCCGTACCCGGAACGAAATGGACCAATCCGTGGAGCCGTTACGTTACGTCCGCGGAGCCGTTACGTTAAGCCCCCGCTGATTGGTCCAAATTGACCAATCCACGGACTTCCTCACACACACACATCTGTGTGCAGGGAGCAGGCAGCTCAGCTGATTTCTCCTCCCTGGCTGCAGGCTGATAACAGACAGTTGGGATCGCAGCGAAATTCTCTCTGCAGACCCATTCTCTCTGCAGACCCATTCTCTCTGCAGACCCATCCTCTCTGCGGACCCATTCTCTCTGCAGACCCATTCTCTCTGCAGACCCATCCTCTCTGCGGACCCATTCTCTCTACAGACCCATCCTCTCTGCGGACCCATTCTCACAGCAGACCCATTCTCTCTGCAGACCCATTCTCTCTGCAGACCCATTCTCTCTGCAGACCCATCCTCTCTGCAGACCCATTCTCTCTGCAGACCCATTCTCTCTGCAGACCCATTCTCTCTGCAGACCCATTCTCACAGCGTTTATCAACCTTTTTCTTACTCAATATCAAGACACACTTATTGTTTTTACTTCGGCTGTGACTTTGTGTGTGCTCAGGATGAGTTTGGCTGTGTTTGGCTATGTATCCTAAACAAGGAAACAACACCTCCACGGAGCTCAGCGCGATTCACAACGTCCCGACCAATCAGAGCACACTGTGCTCACAGGGAGGGTGGGGGCTGGAGCTATTGGAGCTACAACGAGCCGTTAAAGGCAGAGAGTGAAATTCAGTGAATACACGTAGTTTACAGAGATGCTGTATGAGAAACCAATGTGAGTTTGGAGAGATGCTGTATGAGAAACCAATGTGAGTTTGGAGAGATGCTGTATGAGAAACCAATGTGAGTTTGGAGAGATGCTGTTTGAGAAACCAATGTGAGTTTGGAGAGATGCTGTTTGAGAAACCAATGTGAGTTTGGAGAGATGCTGTATGAGAAACCAATGTGAGTTTGGAGAGATGCTGTTTGAGAAACCAATGTGAGTTTGGAGAGATGCTGTTTGAGAAACCAATGTGAGTTTGGAGAGATGCTGTATGAGAAACCAATGTGAGTTTGGAGAGATGCTGTATGAGAAACCAATGTGAGTTTGGAGAGATGCTGTATGAGAAACCAATGTGAGTTTGGAGAGATGCTGTTTGAGAAACCAATGTGAGTTTGGAAAAATGCACAATATAAATCTATTCTAGTAGACCTCAACAATGGAATTATGATCAGTGGAAATGGCCATGACACCTCTCCTTTAAATGGAGGCTTCTCATTGGTTACCATGTGTCTCACTGATTGTGTCTGTAATAAAGTTTTCTTGAAGCAACGTATTAAAGCTGTTCCTGAAGACTGAAGTGATCGTCATTAAGTTGAATAAAGATTTACAAAAAGCAGTGTCCATGATCTCATGAAGTCAACCTGTCGGTGAAACATGAACTGGGGTTACAAGTACACATTACAACAAGTACAGGAATGTAGGGTCTATTTTGCAGGGGTGGGCATTTTACGGCCCGCGGGCCACATCCGGCCCGTTGGCCGGCCTTGGCCGGCCGTGTGAGGTTGATCATAAATTATAACATAATGAAAAAAACAGCAACCTTTTCAAAATAAAAGCAACACAGCTGTATTGCTTGCATGGCGTAAATACTTTTCTAACTGTGTTGCTTTTATTTTGAAAAGGGCGCTGCTGTTTTTTAAATTTATTTACGTAAACGCTTATGCCGTGAACAGCTACGAGTGATGCTGGCCGGCTAGTCCTCGAAATGTCCGCTAAGAAAAAAAAAAGAAAGATCGATACTGAATGCCGCGTTTTCAACAAGACATGGACCGCTAAGTATTTATTTACAGAAGTGAAAGGTAAAGCTGTGTGTTTAGTTTGTGGTGCGCAGGTCGCTGTGTTCAAGGAGTACAATTTGAGTCGCCACTATGCTACCAAACACGCAGATAAATACAAGAACCTGTCTGAGGAAGAGCGGGCAAAGGGGTCGGATGCTTTGCTAGCTAAGCTGCAAAGCCAACAACACATTTTCACAAAACATTCCACATCCAGAGATGCAGCTGTCAAGACGAGTTATGTCTTAAAAGTTAACCGTTTTCGGAGGGAGAGTTCATTAAGGAGTGTTTGTTGGACACTAATATGCCCGGAGAAAAAGGAGGCATTTGAGAAAGTGCCGCTCTCCCGACGCACAGTTACGAGGAGGATTGAGGACATCGCGGGAAATCTGGAGCTTCAGCTGCAGAACAGAGCGGTCAACTTTGACTTTTTTTCCTTGGCTTTGGATGAGAGCTGCGATGTACGTGACACTGCCCAGCTACTCATCTTCCTACATGGGATAACTACAGACTTCAAAATCACGGAGGAGCTGGCAGCCATGCAGTCAATGAAAGGTACAACAACAGGGAGTGATTTGTTCACGGAGGTAAATGCATGTGTGGAAAAGTTGGGACTGAAATGGGACAAGCTGGCAGGCGTGACAACGGATGGTTGTCCAAATCTGACAGGGAAAAATGTTGGACTATTGAAGAGAATGCAGGATAAAGTGACAGAAATTAACCCTGAGCAGAAATAGGTATTTTTGCATTGTATTATACATCAGGAAGTGTTGTGTAAGTCAGTGTTAAAAATTAACCATGTTGTTGATGTTGTAACTAAAATAGTTAACTTCATCAGGGCAAGAGCATTGAATCACAGACAGTTTGTTGCACTTTTGGAGGAAAGTGAGACTGAACATCGTGACATACCCTACCATGCAGCTGTCAGGTGGCTCAGCCTGGGCAAAGTGCTGAAAAGAGTATGGGACCTGAGAGAAGAGATGCAAGACTTCTGTGTGAAGAAAGGAAACGACATCCCACAGCTTTCAGATGCAGACTGGATGGCAGACCTTGGTTTTGCTGTAGATGTGACTGCACTAATGAGTGAACTAAATGTCTGCAAGGCAAGGGCCTTTTTGTGCATGACATGTACAGTGCAGTGAAGGCTTTCATGAGAAAGCTGCAGCTTCTCTCAAGCCAAATGGAGGACAACATTCTCACGCACTTGCCAACACTGAAGGAAGCCACACCATCAGCTGATCACCTCCAGAGGTACTCATCCATGTTATGGCGCATTTCCACTACACGGTCGGCCTCGGCCACACTCGGTACGGCTCGGTACGGCTTGGCCGCGTTGGGCCTTAACAGGGCCGACTCACTTCATGCTGCGCTTCCATTACAGTTTAGGAACTGGGGTAGTTACTATAGTAACGCAGTGTAGGCGGAGCCGTGACGTCCTCTTCAATGAGAAATCCAGAAACACAACACAGCCGTTAGCTGTTAGCACTCAGAGCTCACAGCTCCTTATATATGTTCAGAAACTCGACAAAAGTTAAACAAGTACACACCACAGACTGCCTGTGTCATGGTGAATACAGTCGCTGCTTTATTTATGTCTGTATAGGCCGTTGTGAGTGTAGACGGTCGGGGCATATACTGCGTTAGCTTAGCCAATCTCCATTCAGAAAAACACGCATTTTAAAAGGTGTTTCTCCTGCCGTCTGTCTGCAGACTTGTCAAAGCATTAATTCATGGTTTTTACTAACCGGTATCAGTATGTTGTTACTTCGGCATCATTTTGAAACGTGTATTACAATTAAATCACGGTCAAATATGTCCATCTTGTTGTAGTTCTAGCCCCCTTGCCAGCGCTCCTCTCTCTAGTTTAGCATACTCAGCCCGACTCAGCCCTGTTTGTTGGCCCCGATAGAACCACAATTTTCTAGGGCCAGAAAAGGGGTGAAAAAGTGGCCCCGCGCCGTGCCGCGCCGGTTATTGGCCTAGTCAGTGGAAGCACAACCAAAAAAGGGGACGGCACGACACGGCACGCTTAAAGCGAGCTCCGCGCTGCAGTGGAACTGCGCCATTAGAAGCACTGCATGGTGAGTTTTCAAGGCGATTTAAAGACTTCAAAATAGTTGAGAATGAAATGAACATGATCTTTTCCCCATTTACATGCCATGTGGATGATGCACCCAGTGATGTTCAGCTTGAACTCATTGACCTGCAGTTTGACACACTTCTGTCAGAGCACTTTAGGTCAGTCTCACTGCCTGAGTTTGACTCTTCCCTGAAAGAGGAGAACTTTCCACACATCAGGAGACGTGCTCAGAAGATGAGGGTCCTCTTTGGATCTACCTACATATGTGAACAGACATTCTCAGTGATGAAGTTCAACAAATCCAGATACAGATCCTCTATCACTGATGATCACCTCTCAGCTGTCCTTCGCATATCCACCTCAGACATTGAACCAGATTTCCGTGCACTTGTTCAAGCCCAAGACAGACTGGATTTTTCTCACTGAACAAGTAAAATGAACTGAAAAACAAAAATCAAAAGCACTAATTTCTTTTTGTATAAAGCTGATTCATTTCTTATCTTTAACATACTGTAAAACACCTTTTCAGTATTGGTATATTGAGCAGAATTAAGTTCAACTTATTTTTGATTCGGCCCCCCAACACAGCGCGAGTTTCTGAAGTGGCCCCTTGTAAAAGATAATTGCCCACCCCTGGTCTAGTGTATGATTGTATCTGAAGTATTTTTAAAAGAGACCTCCTTATTAGAGGAAGGAGAAGTACTCAGATCTTGTACTTTTTAAAAGAAACCTCCTTAAAAGTCTGTATTTAATCAGCAGATGCATCACCTGAGATTGAACCCTTTAAAGTTTAAGGTACATTTCCCCGATCAGTGACTTCATGATATTTAGAAGACATTCAGTAAAATCATATTTCTACACCAGTTAACAGAAAGGAGACTTTTAGGTGCATTATATTTCATTTTATTACAAAAACTGTACAAAGCGTAACTAAAAACACATCCGGTCGTTCTATAGAAACATACTAATATAGCACGTTAGATAAAAACTAAGTAGGTCTTCCTCTCGGGATTAAATACTGTGCAGATCAGAGAGGAGGTTAAAGGAGAGGTTTCTGTCTCTCTCTGGGTCTGTGTGGGGCGTTCAGGGTCTCTCTCCGTGGTGCGTTCAGGGCCTCTCTCCGGGGTGCGTTCAGGGCCTCTCTCCGCGGTGCGTTCAGGGCCTCAGAAGTCAGCGTCCAGCCTGAAGGTGTTGTCGCTGGTCCCCGACATCACGCCCATCCTCTGGTATTCGCCCACGCGCTTCTCGAAGAAGTTGGTCTTGCCCTCCAGAGAAATGTTCTCCATGAAGTCGAAGGGGTTCTCCGCGCGGAAGATCTAGAACACAAGAGAACACTTTGAACTCAACACTCAATATATTCAACATGTTCACACAAACGCACGACTTTCCACTGGAGCTCTTTTGAACTCAACACGGTGCGTTCACTGTCTGTTCAGCGCGGCGTCTGTTTCCTGCTGCTGCCGCTCTGTCAGCTGACCACTCGTCCTCCAATCAGAGCGCAGCAGCAGTCAGCCCCCATCATTGGCTGAGGTCCGTACCCCTGCGCGGCTCATCATCACAGACTCTCAATCAATAAATCACTGACGAAGAATCAATCAATCACTGACTCAACAGCAGCACTTCCTGTCAGATGACTAATATCGACGATTATTGGATATTTCTCGACGATTAAAGAGTACAAACTGACAGATATTGATTTAGGGATATTTCAGGAGAGATATTGATGATTATTGGATATAAACTGACAGATATTAAATATATATAAATATGTGTATTAGTAGATATAAATGTGTGTATTGGTATATATAAATATGTGTATCAGTATATATAAATATGTGTATTAGTATGTATAAATATGTGTATCAGTATATATAAATGTGTGTATTAGTATATATAAATATGTGTATCAGTATGTATAAGTATGTATAAATGTGTGTATTAGTAGATATAAATATGTGTATCAGTATATATAAATGTGTGTATTAGTATGTATTAGTATATATAAATGTGTGTATTAGTACCTTGGAGAAGCCCAGCTCCAGCATCAGGCGGTCAGCCACGAACTCGATGTATTGCTTCATCAGATCGCAGTTCATCCCGATCAGTTTGACGGGCAGAGACTCCGTCAGGAACTCCTGAGAGAGGGGGAGGAGTTAGCTGACGGACAGGAAGCAGAGAGAGAGAGAGAGAGAGAGAGAGAGAGAGGAGGCGGGGCTTACCTGCTCGATGGTCACGGCGTCCCTGATGATGTCACTGACGGTGTCTTCAGACGGTTTGTTCACCAGGTGTTTGAACATCAGACAGGCAAAGTCACAGTGAAGACCCTGAACGCACCACAGAATGAACATGAGTCAGGCAAAGTCACAGTGAAGACCCTGAACGCACCACAGAATGAACATGAGTCAGGCAAAGTCACAGTGAACACCCTGAACGCACCACAGAATGAACATGAGTCAGGCAAAGTCACAGTGAACACCCTGAACGCACCACAGAATGAACATGAGTCAGGCAAAGTCACAGTGAAGACCCTGAACGCACCACAGAATGAACATCAGTCAGGCAAAGTCACAGTGAAGACCCTGAACGCACCACAGAATGAACATCACAGTGAAGACCCTGAACGCACCACAGAATGAACATGAGTCAGGCAAAGTCACAGTGAAGACCCTGAACGCACCACAGAATGAACATCACACAGGCAAAGTCACAGTGAAGACCCTGAACGCACCACAGTGAGAGGACCCTATTATTTCATTATTTTATCCCCGAGACCCTACATTAATAATAATGATGATGATGATGATGATGATGATGATGTACCTCGTCTCTGCTGATGAGCTCGTTGGAGAAGGTGAGTCCGGGCATCAGGCCTCTCTTCTTCAGCCAGAAGATGGCAGCGAAGGACCCGGAGAAGAAGATCCCCTCCACGGCCGCGAAGGCCACCACGCGCTCTCCTGAGGACCAGAACCACAGTTAGAACAAGGACCATGAGGACCAGAACCACAGTTAGAACCAGAGGAACCATGAGGACCAGAACCACAGTTAGAACCAGAGGAACCATGAGGACCAGAACCACAGTTAGAACCAGAGGAACCATGAGGACCAGAACCACAGTTAGAACCAGAGGGACCATGAGGACCAGAACCACAGTTAGAACCAGAGGAACCATGAGGACCAGAACCACAGTTAGAACCAGAGGAACCATGAGGACCAGAACCACAGTTAGAACCAGAGGAACCATGAGGACCAGAACCACAGTTAGAACCAGAGGAACCATGAGGACCAGAACCACAGTTAGAACCAGAGGAACCATGAGGACCAGAACCAGTTAGAACCAGAGGAACCATGAGCACCAGTTAGAACCAGAGTTGGAACCATCAGATATCAGCGTAACTCTGACCGGTTGCTCCCAACAACTGAATTTATAAATAAGGTTCCTTCTTCCTTCATCTCCAGAATATATTCAACGTGTTCTCTCATCACTTCTCACGGTGAGATCGAGTTTCAATAGTTACTTTATTATTATCTAAATGTGTATTATGTGTTTAACTCTGACCATGTTGCATCTTATTTTCTGTCATTTGAACTCAACACGGTGCGTTCACTGTCTGTTCAGCGCGGCGTCTGTTTCCTGCTGCTGCCGCTCTGTCAGCTGACCACTCGTCCTCCAATCAGAGCGCAGCAGCAGTCAGCCCCCATCATTGGCTGAGGTCCGTACCCCTGCGCGGCTCATCATCACAGACTCTCAGTCACTCACTGACTCAGCAGCACTTCCTGTCAGATATTGATGACTAAAGGATGTGAACATGGACCCCGGACCCCCCCCTCTCACCGTAGTTGGCGCTCTTGTTCCCGATCCAGTTGATGGCCCAGTCGGCCTTCTTCTTCACGCAGGGCAGCGTCTCCACGGCGTTAAACAGGAACTCTCTGAGGGGACGAGAACAATGAGTCTCCAGATACTGATTACTGTCAGGGTCATTGAACACACCATCAGACCGTGTGACTCACCTCTCTGCGGGCTCCTTGATGTAGGTGTTGATCAGGAGGCTGTACATCTCTGAGTGGATGTTCTCCATGGCGATCTGGAAACCATAGAAACACCTGGCCTCCGTCACCTGCACCTCCTGTGAGAAGCGCTCCACCTGGTGGAGACACGAGGAACAGCAGGAAGTCAGTCACAGCCAATCAGCAGAGAGAGAGCATCACAGCAGGGGCCTTGCCACCCCAGTTGGCATCTTTGTTTTTGAAATAAAAATTGTGGCTCATCGGACATTTAGGAGAGAAAATCTCTAATGTCCGAGTGCAAGTGAATGCAGCACAAGGCGCAAGCTTGGAAATAATATGATTGGCGGTGATTTCATTTGAACGGGGGGGGACAGCGCAAAACGAGAAGCATTCGGACCCAAGTAGTAGACGGAAGGAATGAGGTGCGGTCTACACTGACAGAGACCGTCAGAGTGGCTGGACTCAGCATGGAATCAAAACGCACTAAAGCTTTAGGTCTTAATCAGTTTGCGAGGCGTGTAGCTGAACAAGATGGTGATCGCCGTAAGACTGTGTAAAGCTTCACTGCCCAGCCAACAGAAAGTAACCACTTTGATGTAACCAGGCCAGTAGGTCAGGACTCTCCACTGGATAATAACTGCAGCGATGTGTTTGAGCTGAATACACGTTGTCTAACTCTAACTGATGCAGTTAGTCACTTCTTTAATGTTTGTTCTTTCTGATGTAAAGTCCAGGTTGTAACTGTTTGCAGTGAAGTCGTGGGGCGCTGAACTGTTCCTTTGATACATGATATAATTACTTGTCTTTCAAATTTGAAGGAGGGTGAGCAAGCATCTTGAGGAACATTCATCATTAACTCCTCCAAAAACTATAGTTTATTTAATAATAACACTGAATGTGTGAATCATAACAGATTGACAGCTGATAGGAATAACATGATTGTTAATATTATCATATTCATTCAGACAAACATCGATGAGACAGTTCATTAATGTACTTATAGCAGCAGTCTGCATAGATGTGGTTCCCCTGCTGGTCTAAGAGTGAGACAAACTCATTCAGTTAAAATTCATTAAATGATGTCTGCCACCTTTTATATCTATATTTAAGGCTTTACTGATGAGCAACAAAAATGTCACCTGTTGGAAAGCCACAATATTAATATTTTAACTCTAAGTTAACATTAATTGATATGACTGCGATTAAAGCAGCATATACTGCCAGGGGATGCCACCTCTCAACATCTCCTGCCACCCTCCTGCCACCCCATGAATATTTGTCTAGATCCGCCCCTGCATCACAGCCAATCAGCAGAGAGAGTTTCCTTTTACCTGTTAAGCCCTGAGCCTGTTTTTCAGGTCTCAGGCTCGAAAATGACATTCCCAGAACAAATGACCATATCTTCTAAAAGGGTTAAATTAATAATCTTTTTTCTCAAAGTAATGATAAACCTGTGAGTTGGATGTAGAAGTGTCAGAATCAATATAGATGTTTTTTATTTTAAAGTAAATTCAGATTGAACATAGTAAAGAAATGACTTTTAGTGAAAACCACCCTGGAATGATGGGATAGACTAAAAGCGTATAACATATAGTAAGTACCCTATATCAAGATTGATGCAAAACAAGCATACTACTATAATGTATGATGTCCTTTATTGTTTTATGTGGAACCTATTTGCTGCAGGTCTCCCTTGAAAAAGAGATCTATGATCTCAATGGAACCAATCTGGTTAAATAAAAGTTTGAAATGAAACGAGTGACATTTGACCTTTTGAGAGGTTTAGCAAAAAAACAACACTTCTGGGGTCATTTTGCATATCTCTTGTTCGATTTTGAGTGTCGCGAGTTCTGATTGCTCAGTGATGATACCAATACCTATATAATCTCAGCTTTAATCGGATATGCGTTCGCATTTTCCCGCTCAGGGGTAATTTAGACTTGTGTTTTGGTAAAAATGGTTCATACTGTCAGTTAGCGGAGTTTCTTCCCGTTAATCTGGTATGAGACATTAATGAGTTTTTAAATAAGCCCTGAGACACAGTTTCGTGAAAGAAAAAAAAACCCGCAGCCCCCTCTACCAGGGGCTCTCGGACTTAACGTCTCACCAGGTTCTCTAACGTCTCTGAACTCTCACCAGGTTCTCTAACGTCTCACCAGGTTCTCTAACGTCTCTGAACTCTCACCAGGTTCTCTAACATCTCACCAGGTTCTCTAACGTCTCTGAACTCTCACCAGGTTCTCTAACGTCTCACCAGGTTCTCTAACGTCTCTGAACTCTCACCAGGTTCTCTAACGTCTCTGAACTCTCACCAGGTTCTCTAACGTCTCTGAACTCTCACCAGGTTCTCTAACGTCTTGCCACGTTCTCTAATGTCTCTGAACTCTCACCAGGTTCTCTAACGTCTCACCAGGTTCTCTAACGTCTCTGAACTCTCACCAGGTTCTCTAACATCTCTGAACTCTCACCAGGTTCTCTAACGTCTCTGAACTCTCACCAGGTTCTCTAACGTCTCTGAACTCTCACCAGGTTCTCTAACGTCTCACCAGGTTCTCTAACGTCTCTGAACTCTCACCAGGTTCTCTAACGTCTCTGAACTCTCACCAGGTTCTCGTTGACGATGCCGTCGCTGGCGGCGAAGAAGGCCAACACGTGAGAGATGAAGAACCTCTCGTCGTCCTTCAGAGCCTCCCAGTGCTGCACGTCCTTGGACAGATCCACCTGCAGACAGGAAGTTAAGATCAGCTGCTCTCAGAGACACAGACAGCAACAGGAAGTTAAGATCAGCTGCTCTCAGAGACAGCAACAGGAAGTGCATAACGTTCCCCTCTGAGGGACTAATAAAGCTTTGAGGTTCTGAAGAGCAGGACGTACCTCCTCCGCGGTCCAGAACGACGCCTCAGCCTTCTTGTACATCTGCCAGATGTCGTGGTACTGGATCGGGAAGACCACGAAGCGCCGAGGGTTCTCCTTCAGCAGCGGCTCCTCTTCCTCAATCTTCTTCATCGCTTTGGGCTGAGAGACAGGCGGTCAGACGCTGATACTACAAATACTACAGTGTACACAGATACTGCACTGTGTATACAGATACTACAACATACTAAGCCATGTACAGATACTAAACAATGTACACAGATACTAAACAATGTACACAGGGTCAAATACTACTTGAGTATTTCCATGTTCTGCTACTGTGTACTTCTACTCCTCTACAGTTCAGAGGTACATGGTGTACTTCTACTCCACTACATGTATTTAATCCCTTTAGTTACTTCACAGATGTGGATGAATGATGTGAAATATAATCAAGTGTTAAATCAGACTTTAGTTCCACCTGGAGTAAATCCACAAGCTACCCTGCAGTATACAAAGTCATTCAAACTAGCTGCACCTTTACCAGCTTTGAGAACACTTTCATGATCAATCATTATAAAACATATCATATATATTATTCTGAAATGGACCAATCTGCACAATGACTACTTTTACTGTCTCTACTTTCACTATATTTTGATGATAATACTTTATACTTGAAGTATATTCTGAACGCAGTACTTCTACTTGTAACAGAGTATTCCTACACCTCATAATAAAGACAGGAAGTGACGTCAGCTGATTTGAAACGGCAACAGCTGATCGTCCAGTTCGGCGCCAGAACTGACACTTTAGGCGCCACATCGACATAAACACTAATAATCCTACACTTTAATGTGTGTTTAGATATATACATACAGATATATGTATATGATATTAACAGTCTGTGGTTGAACTCACCTCTGAGTCCGAGAAGATTTTCCGCGCGGTTTTAGACGCTAAGATGCGCGTGGTGTTCAGGCTCGGGGGCTGAAAAAGAGAAACAATAATCTGATTTAAACCGTTTATTTCATCGGATCTGAGTGAAACACACACACGAGATGAAGGTCAATAAAGCTGCAGTGGGTACAAATTGCTGCTCCTTTGTTTAACGGCTCGAACAAAGAGTCCTTTAAACGGTAAAAGCTGCTTTTTAGTTCTTACCGTGTTTTCTTTGTCCAGCGCCATCTTGTTCATCTCACTGCTGAGAGAGTTCTCCTTCTTCGCGGACAGAGGCGCGCGAGCAGAAAGCATTGTGACGGGTTTAAAATGAAATAAGTTACGGTGTGAAAGTTAAAAGCAGCAGAGAGACGGAGAGACTGAACGGCTCCTGCTGCTGTCTGCTCCCTCTTTATATTGGAATATTGGCGCGGGAAGGCAGTCGCCCAATAGGAACGCCGCTCGCGCTTGGCTCTTTAAACTGACGCTGTGACGGAGCCAATCAGGTGGCGAGTAGAGAGATCACGTGCTGCAGGCCAGCTGCGGGAGAATCAACGTCTTTGTTTGGGCGAGGTTACAAAACTGTGTGAAAAACGATGTTACAAAACATCTCAGATTCAGACTCAAACACGACTTAGTTTATCATTAAAACCTTTAAACGGTGTTCTAAAATACTGCCAGGAAGTTATAAGTCGTGTTGAGACCGCCACAACATTAATGAACCTGTTTAATTTAATTTAAACGACTGTATATTAGTTAAACTACCAGGTTAAAAGTCTTCAAACACTTTATACAGAATATACCACACTGTTAAAATACTCATGTTCAAGTATTGTGTAGTACTCATTGTAGAGAAAATACTCCATTAAAACCAAAAGCAACAAATATTAACATTTCAGAAGCTGAACCGTGAACAAGAAACCTCTTAGTTTAGTTTTAATTAGTGTTCTGTTAACCCACCCATGGTCTAAGTTACTTGCATATAACGTTGGATGGTTTAATCTATAACAAATCATCTTAAATTGTTCCTATATTGTGTCTCAAAATCTGAATCTATAAACTGTCCCTCTCTGTCCCTCTTTGTCCCTCTCTGTCCCATCTGAAAATCTGTATTTCTGCTTCTTTTTTTAACGTAAATCATCTTATATTTCTAAGTTTTCTTATATGGAAGTGTTTATCCTATGTGTTTGTTAGTATAGTTAATATCTGGGTGTGGAGAGCTGAACGTAAGGCTGTTATTGAACCGTACAAATGCGTGTTTTACTCTTAATAACATATCTTGCATTATCGACTAATAGCGTTTCCGGTTTGTTTCCCGCTGGCGCCAACTGTTGTTGTTATTGTCTGTAATCTTAAATCTCGCCACAAATTAGCGCCAAAATAACAATTGTAAACACCACGTTTAGTTATAACTCAACATCTGGAGGCATCGTTTGTATGTTCAGGAATCCGAAATAAAACGTACATGATTGTTTTAAACTGTTTTAAAAAGCAAACAACACGGCAACATATGCTCGTATTTCCCGGGGAAACCAAAGAATAAACACACATTTAAGGACTTATTTATCGATGCTTCGTGTCTCTGATTATCGGTAGGTTTGTACCTTTGATTAGCTCAGGGTTCAGGCTCTGAAACAACAGTTTAATCTCCATTTTCATCCAAAAATCAGACGCTACTCAGTGGATTTCTTCCCAACTGAATTTGACCTAGCAGCAACTGTTTCCAGGTCACTGCTGAATGGAGCGCTCTGATTGGTTGATCGGGAAGACAACGACGGAGAAGAAGGCAAATGACGTCACGGGGAGAGCGCCCCCTAGAGACCCGGATGAAAAAAACCTGCAAGAGCGAATTTAGAGTAAAAATAAATACAAATATTATGTTAACAAAACTGTAAAAAATATCCTGCATGATATCTAAGACAAGGACACACATATTTGCATCAATATGTTGTGTAATAATATTTTTAATATTAATAGTAGGTACTGATTTTATGGACGAGTGTTTTATAAAATACAGGAAAAAGTAGGAGGTTTTAAAACAATAGAAAGACAACTACTGAGCAAGACACTATTACAAGACTGCAATCAGGGCACAGGATGAAATACAACAATGCATTTCATTGGGAAACATGACGGTGCGTTCACTGACCCTCTCTCTCCCTGAGGGTGCGTTCACTGACCCTCTCTCTCTCTGCCTGATGGTGCGTCCACTGACCCTCTCTCTCTCTGCCTGATGGTGCGTTCACTGGCCCTCTCTCTGGTCCCTTGCATTTAATTGGGAAACATGTTATCTGCCAGATATAAAACATACAGAGAAAAACTGCAGAGAAAGGTAAAGAAATGTGGAGTTAGTAGTATTGTTAAACCTTAAGAACCTCTTGAGTTGCGAGGAGGACAACTTTAAAGCGTTATTTGAGTTCTTAGAAAGTACCGGGTTGATGAAGAGGATTTAGTTTTGTTATTTTGTTATTTTGATTTCTCTTTTTTCTTCCTTGAAGCTCACTGATTTCTTCCCATGTTCTGTGGTCCACACTCCGGTCCAGAAGGTGGCGGTAAATGCACCTAAAAGCTGTTTGCCAACCACCATAACACTCCAAAAAGAAGAAGAAGGCTGCTTGTTTCCACTCGGTGGCTTTACGCAGGGGGACCGACGGTGTCATGGCTGCAGCCGCTGAGAGCATGAAGGTGGAGGCTGGAGGAGAGGAGGACAAACTGCAGACCCTCAAAGGTCAGATTATAATCAAGTTATTATTATCAATTAAAAATAAAACTGCGTGTTGGGCTTCATGACGTCACCATTCCTCTCTGACGTCACGGTGTCTGTTGGTCAACAGTCCTGCTTCAGGGTTACAAAATACACACAATCTACTTTACTGTCAATCTGTTAGTTTATATGTACTGACAGAGAGATAGAGAGGCTGTCTCCTACAGTCCCGAGGATACACCATACAAATATATATATACAACTATGTATACACTCCTGTACACCCACTTATATATATATACATAATCAACATAGACACATTTATACATATGCACACATTAAGAGGCATATATAAAAAACAGTATATACAAGTCAGTACTTTTACTTTTACCAGAGTATTTTTAAACACGAGTATCTGTACTTCTACTTGAGTAAAGGAAGTGTGTACTTTAGTTTTGTTGAGTCTGTGCTCCCTGACTCTTCCTGTCCTGTATGTTGTTGTCTCTGCAGGAGCAGCGTTCCTCAGCTCCGTGGCGTCTGTAGGGATGCTCGCGGGGTTCGGGTCCACGTTAGCCCTGTCCAAGAAGAAGAGCCCCGGCTGGTTCAGTAAGGTCAGAGTTCTGATATCTCTCTCTCTGTCCCCTGTCTCTGATCTCTCTCTGTCCCCTGACTCTGATCTCTCTCTGTCCCCTGACTCTGATCTCTGTCTGTCCCCTGTCTCTGATCTCTGTCTGTCCCCTGACTCTGATCTCTCTCTGTCCCCTGACTCTGATCTCTCTCTCTGTCCCCTGTCTCTGATCTCTCTCTGTCCTCTGTCTCTGATCTCTCTCTGTCCTCTGTCTCTGATCTCTCTCTGTCCCCTGTCTCTGATCTCTCTCTGTCCTCTGTCTCTGATCTCTCTCTCTGTCCCCTGTCTCTGATCTCTCTCTGTCCCCTGACTCTGATCTCTCTCTGTCCCCTGACTCTGATCTCTCTCTGTCCATCATATCTGCCAAGACGCTGGGACATGTCCCCAGAACTGTAGTACACAACAACACTGGTTCATTTCACACAAGAGAAGTAGTTTAAAGTAACAAAGTCTATTTACTCTGTCTTTCTGTTCCCTGACGGTGCGTTCACTGACCCCTTTCTTTCTGTTCCCTGACGGTGCGTTCACTGACCCCTGTCTTTCTGTTCCCTGACGGTGCGTTCACTGACCCCTTTCTTTCTGTTCCCTGACGGTGCGTTCACTGACCCCTTTCTTTCTGTTCCCTGACGGTGCGTTCACTGACCCCTGTCTTTCTGTTCCCTGACGGTGCGTTCACTGACCCCTGTCTTTCTGTTCCCTGACGGTGCGTTCACTGACCCCTTTCTTTCTGTTCCCTGACGGTGCGTTCACTGACCCCTTTCTTTCTGTTCCCTGACGGTGCGTTCACTGACCCCTTTCTTTCTGTTCCTTGACGGTGCGTTCACTGACCCCTTTCTTTCTGTTCACTGACGGTGCGTTCACTGACCCCTTTCTTTCTGTTCCTTGACGGTGCGTTCATTGACCCCTTTCTTTCTGTTCACTGACGGTGCGTTCACTGACCCCTTTCTTTCTGTTCACTGACGGTGCGTTCACTGACCCCTTTCTTTCTGTTCCTTGTTCCCTTTCTTCTGTTCCTTGTGTTCACTGACCCTCTCTCTCTCTCTCCCTGACGGTGCGTTCACTGACCCTCTCTCTGACCCCTGACGGTGCGTTCACTGACCCTCTCTCTGGTTCCTCTGCAGGGCGTCTCAGTGACGGCGGTGGCCCCAGAGAGTGGAGCCTCGTTGGCCCTCAGAGCTCTGGGCTGGGGGTCTCTTTACGCCTGGGGGGGGGTCGGCCTGCTCTGCTTCACCGTGTGGAAAATACTGGGAGTCCATAGCGTACGTATCTCTGATTTAAAGGTCTCCTATCATGCAAGATGCACTTTCTGATGTCTTCTCTACATCACCATGTGTCCCCGGTGTGTCCCCCGTGTGTCCCCGGTGTGTCCCCGGTGTGTCCCCGGTGTGTCCCCCGTGTGTCCCCGGTGTGTCCCCCGTGTGTCCCCCGTGTGTCCCCCGTGTGTCAGGAGACTCTCAAAGTGTCAGGAAATAAACCCCTCTCTCTTTTCCTCCGTACCCACATCTCTAAAAACGGGGGATCAACGGAGCTGATCCAGATGTGCTGCGTCATGACGACATTACTAAAATGTGGGCGGGCTTTACACCCACGGGCCAATCAGAAACGTTGCTGTCAGAAACAATGAGACGTGTTCTGGACGTAATATGGTCTGTGTTTACATTAGCATGCAGCGTTCTCTTTAAAGCTACAGACCCAGAGTCAGCTCTTTAGTAACAGCTGGAAGAGAGAGGGTGTGTTTGGAGCAGGACACTTCAGAGACATGTTGTTATATATTCGTATATATCTGAGACCTATAATATATGCCTAAAGATAGCATAATAGAAGACCTTTTAATAATGATGATTTTAACACAGCTATGTCCCTCACCTCTCTTCCTCTTCTTCCTCAGATGTCAGAGTTCAGGCTGAAGATGCAGTCCTTCGTCCCGGCCGTCCCAAAAAAACCCGAAACCGACCCTGTGGACTGGAGCGCCATCTTCAAGTGACCGTCTTCAAGTGACCGTCTTCTCCTGCGGAAACATCTGCACCTGAACGCATCGTGTGGACGGAGAGACTCTGGAGCCTCGTCTGAGGAACCCGTCGTGTATATTTGTACAAAAATCGCTTTTGTTACTCTGAACATATCAGCGTTTATTTTATAATTTATTCTGAAGTGGTCACAGTGACCCCGGACATGTGGAGACCCCAAAGTGTTCTGATAGAAGTGTAGAGTAGGGTCTGCAGCTCATAGAGACTGCTGGATGCTAACCTGCAGATGCTGGGACATTCACACAGTTAGCATCAGTTGAGTTAGTTAGCATTATAGCTTACTGTATGTGGACAATAGTTAGAACATGTCTGTCAGATTTGGACAGTTCTGGAGTGGGTTAGGAGGTTATTGAGGATGCTGAATCCATTCCTGACCTTTTCAGGATCATAAAAGTCAGTTTCAACCAGAAAGTGTCCAAATCTGTCCTCTCTGTGGACTGATTCTGATCAAGTTTGGGTCCATTTGAAAGATTTAGGGGACTCTGGATTGGACAGATTGCTTATTTATTTGAATATAAATTGTCTACAGTCGAGGTAATAATGTTCGTCTGGTGCTCTCTGTTCTCAATGGTCCCAACCCAGTCAGAGTCAGTCCACAGAGAGGACAGACATGGACTCTGAAACCACTCCAGAACGGTTTGATAAGTGCTAATGAACTCACCTTGTGTTCACTGTGTGAGTGTCCCAACATGCAGGTTAGCATCCAGCAGTCTCTCTGAGCTGCAGACAGACTGGAAGACCGGGACATATCCACGCCTTATTTTAAAATGTCTGACACGGACTGAGAAGATCTTTCTGAATATTGAATCCACAGCGAGTCGTCTCGCTGACATCCAGCTTCATCACGGAGTTATTTCTGCCTCTTTTTCATCGCTTTACTACGAATAAAGTCTTTATGTTCTGTGTGCGAGCGGCGCACCCTCTGATCTGTAATGAACCGTTTCTGAATAAATTCAATTCATCTGTGAAGTTTCTCCTTTCACCTGTCATACCTGAAGCTCCTCCTACACACACACACACACACACACACACACATACACACATACACACACACATACACACATACACACATACACACACACCTGAATCAAACACACCTTTATACTGTACTTTAGTAAAAGTAGAAGTACTCAGATCTTGTACTTTAGTAAAAGTAGAAGTACTCAGATCTTGTACTTTAGTAAAAGTAGAAGTACTCAGATCTTGTACTTTAGTAAAAGTAGAAGTACTCAGATCTTGTACTTGAGTAAAAGTAGAAGTACTCAGATCTGGTACTTGAGTAAAAGTAGAAGTACTCAGATCTGGTACTTGAGTAGAAGTAGAAGTACTTGAGTAGAAGTACTCAGATCACGTACTTGAGTAAGAGTAGAAGTACTCAGATCTTGTACTTGAGTAAAAGTAGAAGTACTCAGATCTGGTACTTTAGTAAAAGTAGAAGTACTCAGATCTTGTACTTGAGTAAAAGTAGAAGTACTCAGATCTTGTCCTTGAGTAAGAGTAGAAGTACTCAGATCTTGTACTTGAGTAGAAGTAGAAGTACTTGAGTAGAAGTACTCAGATCACGTACTTGAGTAAAAGTAGAAGTACTCAGATCTTGTACTTGAGTAGAAGTACTTAGTAACTTGCCTCCCTGGTACACAGTGTGTGACAGTAACTGAGCTCCACCCATCATCAGGGAAACAAGGAAACATGTTGTTATTCAGTGACGACACACACACACACACCAAGGATGTTAGGATACAGACAGAAGGCGACTGAAGGCAGGGGTGAGAAGTAACTAAATATATTTACTAAAGTACTCAAGTACAATTTAGAGGTACTTGTACTTAACTTGAGTATGTCCATGTTCTGCTACTGTGTACTTTTACTCCTCTACAGATCAGAGGTACATGGTGTACTTCTACTCCACTACATGTATTAATCCCTTTAGTTACTTCACAGATGTGGATGAATGATGTGAAATCTAACCAAGTGTTAAATCAGACTTTAGTTCCACCTGGAGTAAATCCACAAGCTACCCTGCAGTATACAAAGTCATTCAAACTAGCTACACCTTTACCAGCTTTGAGAACACTTTCATGATCAATCATTATAAAACATATCATATATATTATTCTGAAATGGACCAATCTGCACAATGACTACTTTTACTGTCGCTACTTTCACTATATTTTGATGATAATACTTTTATACTTTTACTTGACGAACATTTTGAATACTTTTACTCAAGTACATGATCTGAGTACTTCTACTTTTACTACAAGATCGGAGTACTTCTACTTTTACTGTAACAGAGTATTCCTACACTCTGGTACTTCTACTTTTACTAAGTACTAGATCTGAGTACTTCTACTTGTACTCAAGTACCAGGTCTGAGTACTTCTACTTCTTCTCTCTCTGCAGGGGAACATCTCTCCGGGGTTGGAGTGACTCTCAGACAACAGGAAGTGTTTCTGCTTCACGGTATAAATGGCTTCCAGGTTAGAGGAGGGTCTCAGCTGTCTGTCAGGAGGTCTTCAGAGACCCTGTCCTCCTGTCCTGCTGCCACAGCTTCTGTAGAGCCTGTCTGCAGAGCTGGTGGAGAGAGAAACACCAGAGTGTCCAGTCTGTAAGAGACGATCTTCAAAGGACTTCTTCCCTCCCAACTTTGAGGCCTTCTTACAGGAGAGATCTCCAGAGGCTCTCTGCAGTCTGCACTCTGAGACACTCAGACTCTTCTGTCTGGACCATCAGCAGCCAGTCTGCAGAGATTCAGAGAAACACAGCGACCACAGATTCAGACCCATGGATGAAGCTGCTCAGGATCTCAGAGAGGAGCTCCAGAAGTCTCTGCAGCCCTTTCAGGAGAGACTGAAGCTCTTTGAAGAAGTGAAAGTGAGTATAATCTAACACCTGAAGGTCCAGGCTCAACGCACAGAGGAGCAGTTTAAGAAGCGTCACCAGTTTCTAGAAGAGGAAGAGGAGGCCAGGATGGCTGCACCGAGGGAGGAAGAGGAGCAGAAGAGGAGGATGATGGAGGAGAAGATGGAGGCTGTGAGCAGAGAGATAGCAGCTCTTTCACACACAGTCAGAGCCACAGAGGAGGAGCTGAGAGCTGAAGACGTCTCCTTCCTGCTCAACTACAAGGCTGCAGAGGAGAGGCTGCAGCGCCCCCTGCTGGAGGATCCACAGCTGCCCTCAGGAGCTCTGATAGACCAGGCCAAACACCTGGGCAACCTCAGCTTCAACATCTGGAGCAAGATGAGGGACATGGTGTCCTACTCTCCTCTCATCATGGACCCAAACACTGCTCAGCCGAACCTCGTCCTGTCTGAAGATCTGACCTCTGTTCCCAGGACGAGGACAGAGGAGAGTATCAGAAGCTTCCTGATAACCCAGAGAGGCTTCCTCTACTCCGTCCTGGGCTCTGAGGGCTTTGACTCAGGGACGCACAGCTGGGACGTGCAGGTGGGAGACGCAGCGTTCTGGTCGGTGAGGGTGTTGGCAGAGTGTGTCCAGAGGAAGGGCTACAGGCTGGATTATGGAGAATACTGCTCAGGTCCGGAGGGTACCGAGCCTTTTCCCCGTCTCACCCCGACTCTCCTGTCCACACACACACACACACACACACACACACACACACACACACACACACACACACACACACACACACACACACACACACACACACACACACACACACACACACACACACACACACACACACACACACACACACACACACACACACACACACACACACACACACACACACCACGATGTTTCTGTACATTTACACCGAGGATGAAGTGCGGATCGTACCGGGGAAGGTCTCCGTCAGAAATAAATAGACGTACTGAATTAATGTCTTTATATTTAATTCTACTTTATTTGAAATACATGTCTTTAATAATGCAGTCGGTGGACACCTGATGTATTAAACAGAAATAGAGTGGTGCAGGAATGAGTCCTAAAACCAGGAAGTGAGTCAGCATTTCACCACTTCCTGTTCCCTGGTCTCAGAGCCAATGGGATCTCTCCATAGGAAAATAGCTGAAATAAGGTCTGTGGTTGAGACACATTGAAGAGACGGGTCACGTTTTGTTCTAGGACATTAAATCCATCAGCAGTGACCCCACTGGTGATTTCTGAAGAGTTGACGTGTCTGAAAAACGATGGTTGTTACCAAGTGGCTGAATAGGACTACAGAAGTCGTGGAGGACGTTGTACGTCATTACGCCGAACACGTGAACACTCCTCTAAGTTAGTTTGCCCTGTTCTGCTTGAAAGCAAGTCCCTGCCTCCTGCAGACTGTTCAAACAAACGCTTCAACTCGTTCCATTTAGAATCTGTATGTTTGAATATGGATCTGAAGTTGGCGTGACGTTGAAGTCGTGCTGCTGGACTCGCCTGTAGTTCCTTTATAGCATCACGTTAGCATTTAGCTTCTGGACATTAGATTTATGATTCGAACATTATAAAAGTAGACATGTGGAGATTATCCTGAACAAAACATTTATCAAACAGGTTCCTTTTCCACAGACCTTATTTTTTACAATATTCCTAAACCCTCTGGAGAAACCCTGCTTTTTGGTTGTTTTTTTTAACTTCAGGTGGACCTGCAGAAACACGTCGTCCCTGCACCGCTCCATACAGGCTAGGGTTTGAATGAATGTGTTCAACTTTAACAGCATCTGTAAACTATGACTGTTCCTACATCTTGATTTGACATGTCTTGTTTTCTAAGGTTTCACTGTTACAGTAAAAAACATGTTGTTATTTATTTTCTCTTGTTGTTATTTGCATTACATTTCATACTGAGGTGATCCAGAGAAAGTGATCAGGTTACTCATCATTGTTTTACGTCTAACTAGTTATTGTAAAGGATTACATATCTAACTGAATATAGAGGTGTGCAGGAATGAGACATGACTCAGGGTTTGATCACTTCCTGAAATGCCAGATTAAAAAAAGAAACACTTTTATTCCAAGACTACACATGTATGTTAGAGAGCAGGGGTGTCAAACTCAAGGCCCGGGGGCCAAATCCGGCCCGCGACTTCATTTTATGCGGCCCCACAAGAGCTCTGAAAGAATATTATATGTTTATTATATGGTTACATGCCGATTTACAGAAGCACGTTGCCCATAAACTACATATCCCACAATGCATCTCAAATGTGAATTTTGTTCAGAATTTGACTTTTTTCTCAGAATTTGACATTTTTGCTTCAAAATTTCACATTCTTTTACATTTTCACATTTTTTCCAGAATGTGGCTTTTTAATAATAATAATAATAATAATGTAATATAATACATACGTTTATATATATTAAATATTTATATATGTATTTTTATATAGTCTTAAAGTTACAACCAGCCCTTTGAGTGCAACCATAATGCTGATGTGGCCCGCGATGAAATTGAGTTTGACCCCCCTGTTATGGAGAGATGGTTCTGGATCAATCACATTCAGAGGTCAAAAAACGCAACAGGAAATATGATTCTCTCCCTTAAAACTCTTTTCATAATTGAGGAAAATATATTGATATGAAGGTCATTTTGTCCTCGGACAGAAAAGCACGTTAGCTGACATTAAATATAAATATCTCTTCGTATTTGTGCATTTTTAGCCCTTTGAAGTTCTTCTTGTCTCTTTCAGGAGCTGCAGACCTGCTGAAGGTACAAGTACACAATCAATATTCAGTATTTACAGCCGTGACACACACTTCTGTGTTTGTTATCTGAATGTGGCTCCCCAGATTTTTAAATATCTACATAGCTGACTTAAATCAGAAGTACACAACGACGGAGGTGTTACGCAACTATAGGAGACACGCTGCAGCTTCAGAAAGGATATAGAGACACAAAGGTTCCACATGAAGAAACATCTCCAGCAACTTGTGTTGTGTGCGTCACTCTTTAGTGTCCCCTGGTCTCCCAGCTGTGTGCGTCACTCTTTAGTGTCCCCTGATCTCCAGCTGTGTGCGTCAC